ACAGAGACCATCCCTGCTTATCCTCGTCGTTCTCTTCATGAGATGCAAGCGGGGAGAGGAGGAAGAGGAACCATATGACGAAACAGGATATTGGATGGGAGGAGGATGAGGAGGAGGAGGAAGAGGAAGATGAGGAGGAGGAGGAGGATGGGATGACGAGGAGCAGGATGAGAAAGACAGGAGAGGGCCAGAGGCCGGGAGAGGAGGAGGCGGTGGAGGATCAGGAGCAGGGCGGGAGGCGGGAAGACTGAGGAGGCTCATGAAGCTGGCCTTCGGGAGCCTTGAGACGGGGGTCAATGCAAACGGGGGTGAGCCAGCGCACCGGATCCTGCAGGATCCTGCAAAGACCCCCCTTGGCTGACTCGGGTCAGTGAGCCGCTCGTGGCCGCGAGGCGGCCGCGCATATTGGCTGACCCGGGTTTGCGAAGACCTGCGTTGCAGTTTTGTTTTCCTGCATTGCAGTTTTTTGGTTTCCTGCTGACCCTGGTCTGGATCGACCCGGGTCAGAAGATCCCCGAGGCCTGAGCCACAAGTCCCCCAGCCATGTCTTTTTCTCCTTCCAGCGAAGCTGTGATCGTGGTGCCTCCGGAGGAGTGACGCCTGCTCCTTGCGTGCTGTCCGAAAGCTTTTCCGTGCTTCTCGTGCGCGAGTTTCTCCACGAGCGTGCACATTCCAAGCCGCCACGGAATCTGCGAACGAGTGACGGAGTGGGCCATGTAGGGGAGATCACCGTCTCGCCCCTCTCGTCACTGCTCCGGTTTTATCAGGCGTGGTGGAGAAGGTTGAGCGGATGGGCCGCCACATCGAGGAGGTCGAGGAGACCAGGGACCCTAGAGAAGAGATGCTGCTCCGAGCGTTCCCATCCTCCTTTCTCTTTATCCCTCCTTCCGTCCGGCCTCCGTCCTCGTGCTACTCCCCCTCCTGCTGTCCATCCCGTACCTCCCTTCTCCCTCCCCCTTCCCTCCCTCCGTCCATTCATCAATTTTTTCTCCTTCCTCTCATTCTCCTCCTTTCACCCCCCCCTTCTCTTCTGCCTGCATTCCCCCGCTGTCCTCAGCTCCTCTTCCTTACAAGCACTTAGTGTCCGAAAGAGAAATGCAGACAGTTACACGGATGGAGGGCCAGTGGTTTCCTGCATGCGGCCCTCGCCCTAGCGGTGCGAACATTCGGTTGATCATGTTCATGAGCTGCACTGATGAGTGCCAGCCCGCCATTTTTCCATGGGCGGTCATCGCTGGAGTTTTCGGGGGACCCCGCGACCCCAAGGTCACAAAGATGGAGGCGGGCTCGTGTTCACCATGCGGCTGCCGCTGCAGACTTCAAAGACTACGAGGTTGTTCCCCCATCTGTGCAGTGTGCACATGGGTGGGGGGCGGCTCCATCCCAAAATGTGATACCCGAGCCTAGACTTAAGTCGGGCCTGTCCCCCTACAAGGGGATTTTCGACGACAAATATAAGATACCCCAAACATATTCAGAACATAGTCCAAAAATAGTCTGGGGAGTATTTTTTGAGTACTTGTTGACCTTGTTGGGGTATTTTTGGGGTATCTTTTATTTTTCGTCGAAAATCCCCCCTGTAAGGGGACAGGCCCGACTTAAGTCTAGACTCTCTTTTGGGAAATCAAGCATTGTTCACACGGGTGCGGGGCCCATTCTTCCCAGGACGGGAGTGTGATCGAGAAACGCTCCTGGCCCTGATCCTCCTACTTTTAGGTCGGGCATGTCCCCCTACAGGGGGCTCTTCTACGAAACAATACCAGAAATCCTACAAATTCCAACAAAAAAATCAAAAAGTAGTAAACAAATAGTTCCCAGGCTATGTTTGGATTATTGTTTGATTATTTTCCCGGAAAGGGCGCGGGCCCAGGGTTCTCTTTTTCCCGGAAAGGGCGCGGGCCCAGGGTTCTCTTTTAGTAGGTTAACCCCCCGGCCCCCCTGCGACTTGGGCCGGCGAAATTATTTTTGAGGATGTCTCGAGCGAAACGCTTGTGTTTCAGAATTTGTTGAGGATGTCTCGAGCGAAACGCTGGTTTTGCAGAGTTGGGGATGTCTCGAGCGAAACGCTTGGTTTCAGAATTTGTTGAGGATGTCTCAAGCGAAACGCTGGTTTTGCAGAGCCGACCGCGACACTGAAAAGCGCGTCTCGCGCGTGCCGCGTCCCGCACGCAGGAATTTTGATTTCTTTGGGTTTGACAGGATTTCTCAAGCGAAACGCTTGTTTTTCATAATTTGTTGAGGATGTCTCGAGCGAAACGCTGGTTTTGCAAAATTGGGGGATATCTCGAGCGGGGGCCTCGTGGGGGGCCAGAATTCAGAGGATATCTCAGGCGCAATGCTTATTTTCGTGTCCCGCTCGCAGGAATTCCGAGGATGTCTCGCGCGTGCCGCGTCCCGCGCGTAGGAATTCTGATGATTGTGATAGGATGTCTCGAGCGAAACGCTTGTCCCCAGCACGTTCAGTAGCGCGTCCCCTTGGCACGTCCCGCGTTGCGACCCCATGGCTCATCTTGGTACGTCGCCTGGCGCATCCCTTGGGACGTTTCGCGGCGCGTCCTCCTGGCATGTTCCCCTTGTCCATTAGCTCTGGGGCAGCTACTATGTGTTCAGGCAGCTCGAGCTTAAGATCCAGATCAGTTCGGTCAGGACTCGGATGCAAAGGAGGACTCGATCCACGACGCTATAGAGCACAGTCGCGGCATGGCACATCGCAATTCAGCACGGTGCAGCACAGCACAGCCCTCGGCAGGGTACATCAAGATCGATACACTCAGCATTGCAACTTGGCACGTTCCTTGGCACGTTCCGTGGGGCGTCCCTTGGCGAGTCCCCCTGGCACGTCGCGTGGCGCGTCCCCTGGCACATTCCGTGGCACATCCATTGGCACGTTCCGTAGCGCGTCCCTTTGGCACGTCCTACGGTGCGACCCCATGGCGCGTCCCCTGGCACGTCGCCTGGCGCATCCCTTGGGACGTTTCGCGGCGCGTCCTCCTGGCATGTTCCCCTGTCCATTAGCTCTGGGGCAGCTACTATGTGTTCAGGCAGCTCGAGCTTAAGATCCAGATCAGTTCGGTCAGAACTCGGATGCAAAGGAGGACTCGATCCACGACGCTATAGAGCGCAGTCGCGCCATGGCACATCGCAATTCAGCACGGCGCAGCACAGCACAGCCCTTGGCAGGGTACATCAAGATCGATACACTCAGCATTGCATTTGCCCGTCACCCAATCAGGTGTCTTTGAAAACGCTGCCATGTGTTACAGTTCTATATTCCTTTCCGGGTTCGTGGGTCGATCATGTAGTAGGTTAACCCCCCGGCCCCCCTGCGACTTGGGCCGGCGAAGTTATTTTGCGATGAATTACATGCGGGAGTAGGGCCGGCGAATTAGAATTTGAGGATCTCTCGAGCGAAACGCTTGTTTTTCAGAATTGGTGGAGGATGTCTCGAGCGAAACGCTTGTTTTGTGTTATATATTGTCCTCTCCTGGGGACCTGAATTCAGAGGATTTCTCAAGTGGATTGCTTGTTTTCACGTGCCCAGGTCTTGAGGATGTCTCGAGCGAGACGCTTGGTTTCACGCCTCCAGGTGTCCCTGACAGATGTCTAGCATGAGGATTTGTTGAGGATGTCTCGAACCAGAGGCTTGTTTTCACGTGTCCAGGTCGCCCAGGCGGATGTCTAGCATGAGGATGTGCTGAGAACGTCTTGAGCGAAACGCGTGTTTTCACGTGTCCAGGTCGCCAAGGCACAGCACAGCCCTCGGCACGGTACATCAAGATCGATATCCTTAGCATTGCAGCCTGGCATGTTGCCTGGCACGTTCCGCGGAGCGTCCCGTGGCGAGTCCCCCTGGCACGTCGCGCGGTGCACGTCCATTGGCACGTTCCGTAGCGCGTCCCCTTGGCACGTCCCGCGGTGCGTGCCCATGGCACGTCCCCTGGCACGTCGCCTGGCGCGTCCCTTGGGACGTTCCGCGGCGCGTCCTCTTGGCATGTTCCCTCTGTCGATTAGTTCTGGGGCAGCTACCATCTGCTCAGGCAGCTCGAGCTTACGCTCCAGATCAGTTCGGTGAGGACTCGGATGCCAGGGAGGACTCGATCCACAACGCTATATAGAGCACAATCGCGGCATGGCACATCGCAGTTCAGCACGGCCCAGCACAGCACAGCCGTCGGCACGGTACATCAAGATCGATACACTCAACTATGCACCTTGGCACGTTCCTTGGCGCGTTCCGTGGCGAGTCCACCTGGCACGTCGCGCGGCGCGTCCCCTGGCACGTCCCTCGGCACGTCCATTGGCACGTTCCGTAGCGCGTCCCCTTGGCACGTCCCGCGGTGCGTGCCCATGGCACGTCCCCTGGCACGTCGCCTGGCGCGTCCCTTGGGACGTTCCGCGGCGCGTCCTCTTGGCATGTTCCCTCTGTCGATTAGTTCTGGGGCAGCTACCATCTGCTCAGGCAGCTCGAGCTTACGCTCCAGATCAGTTCGGTGAGGACTCGGATGCCAGGGAGGACTCGATCCACAACGCTATATAGAGCACAATCGCGGCATGGCACATCGCAGTTCAGCACGGCGTAGCACAGCACAGCCGTCGGCACAGTACATCATCATCGATACATTCAGCATTGCATGTGCCCGTCGCCCAATCAGGTGTCTTTGAAATGTTGCAACGCCTTACATTTCTATATTCCTTTCCGGGTTCGTGGGTCGATCATGTTTGGGGTATCTTTTTTTGGTTCGTCGACAATCTCCCTGTAGGGGGACAGGCCCGACTTCATCCTAATTGCCTTTTTGCGCCCCTGGTCGCAAACGTCTTAGGATGGAGGGCGGATCCTCCACAGAGCGGGGCACCGCCTCATCGGCAGGACCCCCGGGCGTTCGCCCTTCGCGGGCGCGGGACCTCTGAGGAGTGGGCTTCGGACGGGAGGGTGTATTGCAGCCTGGTTGGTGCATCCCGGCAGCCGCTCCAAGCAAGCGTTGGAGGCAGGACGCCAGGGCATGCCCGACTCGGCGGTGCGGCGCCCTGCTCCATCGCGCCGGCGCTTGGGGCGCAGCCGCCGTGTGGACAGCGCCGCCCCCTGTGCCTCGGTCCTCGGTCCCCCTCCTCCCCTCACCCTCCGCCTGCTCCCTTACTTCCCCATCCTTCTTTCTCGCCGCGCGCCTTTGATCCATGCTGCAGCGGGCCCTTCCTTTTCAAGAGTTCTCCTTGTAATAAGCCCTCCTGGACAGAACCCCGCCCTCCCACCATGAGTGTCCACATGTGAGCGCTCGCAGGAATTTCTACCGACTGAGATTACATGGGGGATGACTTGGTGGACCTCGTGGGAGAAAACGCCGATTCTGGCAAGACCCGGCGCCCTCGTGGGAGCCGGGCAGAGAGCGCTGCAGTTCTTGGCGAGAGGAGAAATTGAAACAAGCAGTTCCATCACAGTCAACCCGCACAGTAAGGATGAGTGATTTTCCATGGCTACCCTTGCATCCTTCCTCTTCGGCCCATCCTTGACCGCTTTCGCTGGCCGCACCCCGCCTGCTAAATTTCGACATGACATGGCCTTCCAGGGCCCTTGCATTCTTATCATGGACCCTTACTGTACTGGTTGACTGTACGTCGGTCGCGCCCTGCCGCACTCGCTGACCCATCAGAGTGTCGGTTCGTAGCGAACGGTCCCACACCCGCGTGTTCCCCGCCCTCGTTCCTGCGAGCCGCGCCGACGTGGAGAGCTTGATTCCTGCGCCCACGTGTGATCCTTGTCCCTGCGCTCGAGAGATCACAATTGTATTCACCCACGGGCAACGCTTGTCACTCGGGCCACCCCCCCCACCCCAGGGTAACGCTAGCGATCGTACTGGGGGGGGGCCTGGACCCCCCCGCCCCTCCTGCATGCTGCGGGGCACACAGGCGATTGATGCGCCGTGGCGCCGACGCACTCTGGCGGGTGCACGCCGCGGCCGCCGTTATTGCCACCCGCCCGAAAGCCCCCCCTGCCCCCCCGTGTACCGAGCGTTACCCGGGAGAGAAGAGAAAGGGGTCGCGAGCCCAGAGCCCTGCGCGGTGGGGCCCCCTCCGCCTGCCTCGGAAGCGCTCCGCTACGACTCGGCGCGAGAGGGGATCCGCACGGCGCGCTCCAGGCAGGGCCTCGTCGCCTGCGAGGGCCGAAGCAGCTGACAGGTCTGCCCGTGCGGAAGGCGGCGGGAGGCCAGCGGAAGGCGGCAGCGGCAAGCAGGGGGCGCTTCCGCTGGCGGAAGCCAGCGGAAGCTCGGCGGGTGGCGGCGCAAGTAAAATCAGCCATGTTTTGTTGGTCCATGTTGTCGGACCCATCATATGCTTGGTAGAAACGTGGGGGAGAACAGAGTGCGGCACCACGAGACCACGATTCTCGGATAGAGCACGTCTATTGGTTTTGGATTCCGCCGAGGATCATCAGAGGACGCCCTAGATTGGCTACGTCCCGTCTGCATCTGTTGCACAGAAGAGTTGTAATTTTGGGGGCTTTCCTGTGCATGGGAGCTCCAGGCCACATCTCATTTGTAATGAAGAACCCCCTGCCACCATGGAGTGGGGGTTGCAGGCTTCATGACACTGGGAGTGTCAGGGTAGAGCCAGATGTTGCAAGTGCCCCGCTCCATGCACACAGGTGTCGGAAAGTTTTAAGAAAATGTGCGCGGACAGTTTGGAGACCACCCTCATTCCATCTACGTAGCTGGTGGAAACGTCCAGCACGAGTGCTCGCGATATTGAGGCAAGAGCCACTGTCCGGAAGCGACTCGCACTCAAACCCTGTAGGTGTTGGAGATGTGTCGTACGCATCTGTGCGGCGCTGTGGCGAGAACCTCATTCTATCCGTTGTGCGCTGCGCGGTTGTAGCCCGCTTCACCCTTGCAATTGTTAGGGTAAGCTTAAACGGACGCGCGCGGACATTAGGCGATACCAGCGTGCTCATCTGATTTTTTGACCCATCCGAGTTGCTTTCAGAAGCCATAATGGCGCATGAGCGCGGCGCGCCAGCGAGGCCAATGTTCGCGGAGGCCCCCCCTGCGCTCCGCCCGTGCACCCGATGGAAGTGTCCAGCTCTGGGATGGCACGCTGCGACGGGCACCGGGCGGAGCGCCCTGAACGCCAGCGCGTGGCACCACCAGGCGTAGTCGACGTGTTTGGCGGTGCGCCGAGGAGGAGCCAGGCTTGAGGAAGAGGGGTGGCGACGGGGAGAAGGAGGGGGAAGGGCATATGATCCCGAAGGATCTGCAGAGGGGGGAGGACGACGACGAGGAGCGGCAGAGGGACGGGAAGACGAGGAGCAGGAGGAGTCGAAGCTCGCACGGCCGCGAGGCGGTACTGGTGTCCCGTGTCCGAGCCCGCGTGGAACCGTGCTGGCGGCGCTAGTCATGCCCAGACCGCATCGCCCCAGAGTGCGAAGAGAACACGGGGGGAGGATGCGGACGAGGAGGGGGAAGAGGAGGAGGAGGAGGAGGAGGAGGACTTGTGTAAACCCAGGTGTCATCAACGATGTTGGAATAACCCTCCCTCCAAGCTTCCTCTTCACAGGCTCCTACACGAGTCATTTCCACTGAGGGAACTGCCTCGTTCGAAGACATCCGTTTGAAGACCCTGAAGCATGCCAGAACTTTTTCTCGGGATTCCAACGCCACGGATCAACTTGAGTGTTGCATCTTGACGATCCCGAATTGCGCTAGAACGCCATTCCTGGGATTTCAACACCGCGAACCAATGTAACTGGTGCACCCTCACAATCCGGAGCCCTTCCAAAACACTATTTCTGGTACGCTGATCATGGGAGCCCGTGCAATTCCATATTTATTTATATCTATAAAAAACGAGCGTGCGCGGCGCTAAGGCGAGAGCTCTATTTTGAAACCAGTCGCCCTCCAGTTGTCATGTTTAAAGCTTTAGGGCCATACATGGTGAGGAAGTCTCAGGCGAAACGCCCGGCCCGCCCTACAAACTGGCCTCGGGGTGCGACAGGAGGAGTCGGAGGAGGAGGAGGAGGAGGATCAGGAGGAGTAGGAGGAGGATCAGGCATCTGATAGGGGGAACTAGCAGCTGGAGGCGAAGGATGAGAGTCTACAACCCTCGCTGGCTTCGAAACGGCCCTCCTGGATCGGGCGTTCTGCCAGAGGAGAGGCATGAGATGAGGGAGCGGGAGCACGTGGAGCGGGAGGACGACGGGCGAGGAGTTGGGTTGGACAGCGATACAGGGCAGGAGGAGGAGGAGGAGGAGGAGGAGGAGGAGGAGGAAGAGGACCAGGAGCAGGAGGAAGAGGAGGAGGAGGAGGATGATGAGGAAGAGGAAGAGGAGGAGGAGCAGGAGGAGGAGGAGGAGGAGGAGGAGGAGGAGGAGGAGGAGAGAGATGAGTTCGCTACACGAGCGCTGCGAGCATCGATGCCCAGGGTCTGGCCAGCGTCAAAGAGGAGTGCGCGACAGGCGGCTTCGCCCATGGAGCCCTCCCAGAGAGAGAAAGAGAGAGAGAGAGAGAGAGAAAGAGAGAGAGAGAGAGGCAGGAGAAGGGAGGAGGCGGAGCGCGAGGAGCAGGAGCCGAGCCTGGTCAGCAGGGGCAGGACCAGGGGGAGGAGCACGCGAAGAGGGAGGATGATTCGGAGGAGGGGGAGGCGGGAGGAGAAGGAGGGGAAGGAGGAGGAGGAGGAGGAGGAGCAGGAGCAGGAGCAGGAGCAGGAGCAGGAGCAGGATAATGTACGAGGAGGAGGAGGAGCAGGAGGAGGTATGAGGAGGAGGGGGAAAGGGGGGGAGAAGGAGGCGGAGGAGGAGGAGAAGGCACGAGGAGGAGGGGCAGGACACCGAAGACGGCTAGTGGTCTTGTCAGAGTAGCAGGCCCACCCTCCAATCGAGTAGGGGGCTCCCAGGGATTCGACTTCTCCGTCCGCGAGTCTGGAGGAGGAGGAGGGTGAAGAGATATGAGGAGAAGGACAGGTGGGGCGCACTCGGAAGGAAGAGGATGTGGATGGGAAAGCGGTGCTGCGAGGCATAAACGGAGGCCACAACCTACTCCACAGATGCCCAAAAAGGCCCCCCCCCCCGGACAGCCCAGAACCTCGAACTTGGAGTATCGAGGAACAGGGGGGGGCATGAAGGGCAACACGAGAGGGACGACGAGAGGGCAGATGCAGGAGCAGAAGGGAGGGGAGGAAGAGGGAGAGAGCAGAAGAGAGGGAGCACGAGAGGAAGGGGAGGGAGAGATAGAGGAGCAGAAGGAGGCGGACGATGAGCAGGAAGAGGCGGATGACCAGAAGGCTGCGGATGAGGAGCAGGAGGAGGTGGATGAGCAGGAGGAGTGTGGGAGGCGAAGGGGGGGGAGCAGGAGGAGTAGGATTACGAGGACGCGGAGGGAGGGGCAGATGGAGGACGATGGCGACGAGAACGACGAGCGGGACGACAGGAAGGAGGACGCGGAGGTGTCCGTCGGGAGCCCCCCCTGGGTATCCCGCTGCCGCCTGACAGGAGAGGCTCAGCGCCGAGAGGGCCGAGCAGGACCCTCGCTCGCGCGCGCGGGGGGGAGGGGGGAGGAGCGAGGAGGAGGAGGAGGAGGAGGAGGAGGAGGTTGATAGGGGGAGGAGACGCGGGGATGAGAACGGGGGAGGAGCAGCGAAGAGGAGCTCGGAGGAGCGAGGATGAGAGAAGCCGGGGGGGAGAAACGGGGGGAGGCGGAGCAAGGGCGGCGAGAGGCGCAGGTCGAGGAGGAGGAAGAGGAGGAGCCGGAGGAGGAGGAGGAGGAACAGGGACAGGTGGAGGGGAGGAGGAGGAGGAGGAGGACGAGGAGGAGGAGGAGGAGGAGGAGTACCAGTGCAAACCCAAGAGCCATCAACGATGCTGAAACAATCCCTCCCTCCAAGCTCCCTCTTCACAGACCCCTACACTGGTTCATTTCTAGTGAGGGAGCTGCCTCGTTGGGAGACAACCGTTTGAAGGCCCTGGAGCATGCCAAAACCTCGTTCTCGAGATTCCAACGCCGCGGATCAACCTAACCGTTGCGCTTTGACGGTCCTGAATCTTGCCAGAACGCCATTCCTAGGACTTCAACACCGCGGGCCAACGTACATGCTGCACCCCCATGGATTTCCCTGATCCTTTCAAAACCCATTTCTGATACGCTGGTCGTGGGAAGCCGTGGACACTCTATCAGCTTTTGTGAAACCAAAAATTGAATGTGCGCGGCGCCAAGGCGAGAGCCACATTTTGAAAAGGAGCCGCGCTCAATCCACGGAGCTCTTGCAACTTTTAACCGGTTGCACGAGGTGCCAGAGCGAGAGCCACAGCTTGAAAACGGGCCGCCCTCGATCCGCGAAGCCCCCGAAATGCTTACAAGAGTGTGCGCGGCGCCAAAGCGAGAGCCACATTTTGGAAACCACCCGCCCTCAATCCGTGAAGCTCTTGCAAATGTTAAAAACGAGCATGCGCAGCGCTAAGGCGAGAGCCACATTTTGAAACCGACCCGCCCTCTATCGGTGCAGTTGATGCCCAATGTCTTGGGCTTCAGGGTCAGAGGTGGTGAGGAAGTTTCAGGCAAACGCCCGACCAGAACTAAATATTGGCCTCAAGGTGCGACAGGGAGAAACTGCGTAACAAGGAAAAGGAATGGATGAGGAGGAGCAGGAGGAGGAGAAGGAGGAGGAGGAGGAGGCGGAGGCGGAGGAGGAGGAGGAGGAGAAGGAGGAGGCGGAGGTGAAAGAGGAGGAGGAGCAGCGAGGAGGAGCAGCGAGGATCAGCGACAGGAGGCCCATGCAAGAAGCAGAAAGGCGGTACAGTATCGGAATGTGTTTCGCGTTTTCTTCTACCTTGGAAGGGCAAGGACGTCCAATTCCGATTAGCCTCCAGGCCCTCTCCCCCCTCTGGGCGGGGGAAGTTTTTGGCGATGGTGCAGTCGGCCACCAATTGGTGCGAGTGGGTTCGGTCGGGAGAAAATCCTGAGTCCATTGAGCCCAGTAAAGAGGAGGAGGAGGAGGAGGAGGAGGAGGAGGAGGGGAAAGAGGAAGAGAAGGGAGCAGGTGGAGGAGGAGGCTCGGAAGGAGGAGGAGGAGGAAGAGGAGGACGAGGAGGAGGAGGAGGACGAAGAGGAGGAGGACGAAGAGGAGGGACCACTGCAAACTTCAGACGCACCAGCGATGTTGCAATAATCCTTCCCTCGAAGTTTCCCATTCTCGCGTTCCTAGCAGGAGTCATTTGCTCTGCGGGAAGAGCTTCGTTGGAAGATAGCCGCTTGGACATCCAACCGTACCACAACACCATTCCTGAGCTTCCAAAGCCGCGAATCAATGTCACTGTTGCGCCAACGCACCATTCCTGGGATGTCAACTCCGCGAACCGGCGTGTCTTTCGCGCCCTGACAGCCCTAACGGAAGACCAACCATGATCTGTTTCGACACCTCTGCAAACTGAAAAACATGTCGTGCGCGGCGAGAAGGCGACAGCCACAAGTGTGAAAAGGCACGGCCCTCCATCCGGCAAGCTGTTGCACTCGTCTAAGACGAATATGCGTTGCACCAAGGCGAAAGCCAACTTTTGAAATCGACCCGCCCTCCATCCGTGAACTCTTGCAAGCTTTGAACGCACATGCGCGCAGCGGTATGGCGAGAGCCACATGTTCCGAACCACCCGCCCTCGAGCCGCAATGCTGTCGCGAATGGCACGTTTCAGGATCAGGAGTGATGATGATATCTCAGGCCATACGCGCGGCCCATCTTTACCGACCGTCTCGGAGAGCGACATAGAGGAGTTATTTCGCAAGGAAGCGGGATGGAGGAGGAGATGGCGGAAGGAAGCGGAAGGAAGGGAACGCGCGGCGATGCGGATTCAGATTGAGGACCCACCTCACAGGAGGGATTGGAAATAAGCAGTCGCCCTCCACCCGTGTAACCGTTTCATTGTTTTGGAACGGCATACCAGAAATTTGACGAGTCTCAAGCGAGAGCCGCATTGTGAAATCGAATCGGCCTTCTTTACCCTTGTTCCAGGTTGGAAGCTTGAATTATGCGGGCGACGGGCCCAACCGTCTGCAGCTGCATGTAACGCGGGGCAGATCGAAGAATACGCGGGGTGCGACGACATGAGCGGGGAACCGCATGCGGACTCGCCCCCTGGGGCCTTAGATGGAGCTCCCCGTTGGGCCACGATGTGCGGTAGGTGCGCGCCGAACTGGGCGGGGAACCGCATGCGGACGCGCCCCCCTGGAGTTTCGATGGAGCTCCCTATGAGACCACGGAGCGTGTGAGGGGTGCGACGAAACTGGCGGGGAACCGCATGCGGACGCGGCCCCTGCGGCCTTAGATGGAGCGTGGCCACGGATCGTGCGAGGGACGCCGAAATGGGCGGGGAACGGCATGCGAACGCGCGCCCTGGGGCCTCCTTATGGGGCACTGCACGCGGACGCGCCATCTGGAGCCTTCGATGGAGCTCCCTATGGGAGCACGAAGTGTGTGAGGGGTGCGCCGAAATTGGCGGGGCACTGCATGCGGACGCGCCATCTGGAGCCTTCGATGGAGCTCCTATGGGAGGACGAAGCGTGTGAGGAATGCGCCGGCATGCGGACGCGCCCCCTGAGGCCTTAGATGGAGCTCCCTATTGGACCACGAAGCACGTGAGGGGCGCGCCGACATGGACATCGGATGGCAGAGGCAAGGATGGGAGGAGGGAGGAGAGCGGAGGAGAAGGAAGGAAGAGTGAGCTGCGGGGCGCTGTCTCTTCAAAACGAGGGCCCAACACCACATGATGGTCATGGGTTAGGGATAAACTTGCGAAGGGCCCAACCATATGCAGCTGCGAGTACCGCACGGCAGGTGCACGCTAAGGGAGGGAGCTAGTAACAGGACTCAGGCGTCCGTTGGAAGGGTTGGAGCGACGTTGCTGATGGGATCGCGGAGGTCGGCCGTAACGGGTTCACATCTTGGTGTAGCCAGTTACCGCTGACTTGCGCGTCTGTCGGCGCGGCTCAGGGAGGGACAGCAGGCTGCGGGGTTGTCGGTGTAGGTCCCCAGGGGCCTTCAATGGAGCTCCCCATGGGGCCACGAAGCGTGTGAGAGATGTGCCGAAAAATGTGTGAAAGAGGTATACGGGCGCAACCGCTGCGATCACAGTCACTGGGGCCTCACGTGGAGCTCCCTATGGGAACACGAAACGTGTAAGGGGTTCGTGTGGAGATGGCATGCGAAAGTATCCACTGGGGCCTCACGTGGAGCTCCCTATGGGGTCACGAAGCGTGTGCGAGGGGTGCGCCAGAAATGGGGCGGGGGAGGCGTGCGAACGCAGCCATTGGTGTCTCAGGTGGGGCTCCCCATGGGGCCACGCAAATGTTCGAGGTGCGCCGACATTGTGTGGAGAAGGCATGCGAACGCAGCCATTGGGGCCTCAGGTGGAGCTCCCCATGGGGTCACGAAGCGTGCGAGTCGGCACGGTGTGGAGAAGGTCTGCCAAAGCCGCCCGAGGGACCTTCGGGGGAGCTCCCCGTGGGGCCACGAAGCGTGTGAAGGTGCGCGGACACGGTGTGGAGGAGGTCTGCCCAAGCCGTCCCAGGGACCTCCGGAGGAGCTCCCCGTGGGGGGGCACGGAGCGTGTGAGAGGGGCGCGCGGAAGCAGAGACCCACGGAGGGCGGAGGCGGAGAGGGGCAGGAGGCAAGGGTGGAAAAACCACCCGGACCGGACAATTGGCGTTTAGTAAACGGCCCTGTGCGTTTACTTAACAGCCCTGCCCTGTTTGATATCTTCTTTGGGTGCGTTTGCTAAACGGCTTCGCGTGTCAGGGTGGTTATTATCGGGGTGGCTTTTCTGCCCTCTGAGGAGGGGAGGAAGGAGAGGAAGGGCGGAAGGCCGCGGGGCGATTGGGTCCAAGACGCTGGAGCAGCACACGCGCTCAGCCCAGGATCGTTGTGCATCAGCTGCATAAAGCGCGGCCCGCAGGCCCGTGCCAGGCAGTATTCCCCTCCTCCTCCTCCTCCTCCTCCTCCTCCTCCTCCTCTTTCTCCTCCTCCTCCTCCTCCTCCTCCTCCTCCTCTTCCTCGCTGCGCTCCTCCTCCTCTTCCTCTTCCTCCTCCCCACTTCCTCCTCCTTCTCCTCCTCCTCCTCCTCCTCCTCCTCCTCCTCCTCTCGCCTCGTACCTTTCTTCCCCCCCGCCCCCGTCGTGCTTCCACCCCCCCGATCTCTGGAGAGCCTGTCGCCGACGCCTCGGCGATGCATCGCCGATTACGAGCCAGCGCTTTTCCCCCCTGAGTCAGCCCCCCTCGTTCTCCCCCCCCAGATCCCCGACGTCTTGATTCTTTAACGTCGACCCCCATGGTCTGGATTACTTCCCGCGTGCCGGATGTTCATCCCCTGTCGTCTTTGGACGGCCCCCAGCCCGCGAGGCCTCCAGAGGCCCCGAATTGGGCGCAAAGCATACATTTGGCATGCCTGTGTTTTAAAAGGACACTAGTTGGAGGTCCTGCTGCTCCTCATGTTGTTGAGTTCGGTACATATGAGGCAACACATGCTCGATGCCCAACAGCAGACGTTGTCCTAAGCTGACAGCGGGCCGCTGCTGGGCAGGCGATTGTTTCGTCTCTAGTGGACAACGTCCGCGGCGACGCCGATGCCGGCAATGCGTCCTGACCGCATAGGCAAGAGTTGCGTTCAGTTGTCGTTCTCACTCTTTCTTCAGGGGCGGCCTGACCGACCCCTCGCAAGCCATCCCCTTCCGTGACCTCCTCCTCGCCTCGCCCCAAGACTTTTGTGTGCGGCCAGAGGGGCGAGAGCGACGTCACGGAATGGGATGGTTTGCTGGGTGTCCGTTAATCCGCGCCCGATTCTTATACAATTGTCAGGTTTCAAAAAAGATGGTACCGATCTTGCTCTTCCAAGCGAACGACGGCGGCCGGCGACAGGAGGCGGGGGGCACCCTCCCCTCGGAGAGGACACCCTGCGCGACCGCCTCCGCACCGAGCTCAGCGGCCTCGTGGAGAGCGCCTCGGACGTGGCGCGGCAGAACGTGCTGCAGGCACGCGCGCGCGCGCAGGGGCCCCACGGGCCTGCGGGCCCTCGGACCTCCTCGTTAGCGTCCGTGTCCACCTCATCTTCCTCCGCGTCCTCGTCGTCCACCTCGTCCTCCTTCTCGTCTTCCTCCTATCCTCCTCCTCCTCCTTCTCCTCCTCCTGCTCCTCCTCCTCCTCCTCCTCCTCCTCCTTCTCCTCCTCATCGTCATCCTCCTCCTCGTCCTCGTCCTCGTCCTCCTCCTCCTTCGCCCTCCGCCTCCTCCTTGTCCTCCTCCCCCTCCTCGTCCTCGTCCTCATCCTATCTTCCTTCTCGTCCTCCTCCTCCTCGTCCTCCTCCTCCTCGTCCTCCTCCTCTTTCTCCTTCTCCTCCTCCTCCTCACATCCTCGTCCTCGTCCTCGTCGTCCTCCTCCCCATCATCCTCCTTGTCCTCTTCCTCGTCCTCCTCCTCCTCCTCCTCCTCCTCCTCCTCCTCCTTCATGTCCTCCTCCTCGTCCTCCTCTCCCTCCTCCTCCTCGTCCGTCGTCGGCGGCGCCCCGCGAGGTCATCGAGAGGGTGGACGCCGTCTCGCAGCTGATCCACTCGGAGCGCAACGTGCGCGAGGCGGCGAAGCAGGACTGCGCCCTGGCGCCCCGGCTTGCGGGCCTCGCCTGGGCGGGGCGGAGGGAAAGGAGGAGAGGCGAGAGGGAGGGACGAGGAGGATGATGATGAGGAGGATGAGGATGCGGAGGAGGAGGAGGAGGAGGAGGAGGAGGAGGAGGAGGAGGAGGAGGAGGTGCCAGGCAGCGTCAGGTCAGGATGACACCAGCGCTTCCAGCAACGAGCATGGAGGCCAGCTACGAGCATGGAGGAGGAGGAGGAGGAGAAGGAGGAGGAGGGAGGAGGAGGAGGAAGAGGAGTGACGGGGAGGATCGAGGAGGAGGACGAGGAGAAGGAGGAGGATGAGGAGGAGGTGCAGCAGGAGGAGCAAGGAGGAGGAGCGATTTTTTCGGAGATTCCTCTGCTGAGCAGTGCTCGGTGCCTAGTGACCTTGTGATCTGGAAAGGCGCCGCGTGGTCTAATAGAAATTTTCCTCTGTCGTGCAATACAATGGGAGCCCCCTGGTTCGGGCTCCTCAGGAGACCCTTCCTTGTGATGAGTTCGAAGGCTGCTGATAAATGGCCTGGTCAGGCTCTGGTTGCAATCTGATCAGGGTTCCACTTCCCACGAGCTCGACCACCAATTCGCCCCAGACGCACCGAGGTTTCTCGACTTGGAGGAGGCGGGAGAGGGTGAGGAGCAGTGGAAGGTGTAGGAGAAGTATGAGGGGGGCGGAACACAACATGACAGTCATAATGCGGTGGGTAAGGAGGCGGCGGCGGAAGAGAGGCGGTGGACGGACGGATGCCAGCAGCGAAATATTGCATGGAGGCTGATGGCGACTTCTGAAGAGTAAAGATTGGGGTGCAGTGGAGACCTACAAAAAAGAACGGGGAGGGTAGAGGGAGACATGGGGCCCTTTTCCTCCTCTTGCGTGCCAGGGGTTGCATCCCATCCCCCTCGCCCCTGGCCAACCCCCGTTCCCCTTGCCTCGCCCGCGGCGCGAGGGCCTCGAGCGCCAAATCGAGAACCTGAGGGAGTCCACGGAGGCGGTGGGCGGCAGGGACGGGCTCCTGCGGGCAGGTAGCGGCGGCGGCGCCCGCAGCGGCGGCCGCAGCGGCGGCGGCGGCGGCCGCAGCGGCGGCGGCCGCGGCCGCCGCGGCGGTCGCTTCGGCGGCGGCAGCCGCCGCGGCGGCGGCTGCAGCAGCGGCAGCGGGCGGGAGGGGGGAGAAGGTCCCCGCCCTCTTCGGGGAGCAACTGTTGACGGGAGGCTCTCGTAGCCATGTTGAGCCTGTTCGGCCTCCGGGGGCCCTCGCCGGGCAGCCCGGGCCCGCGGGGAGACGACTGGCAGGACGAAAAGCCAGTCACCTCGTGAATGGGTCTGGGTTCCAGGGCTCCGGGGCCCGCGGTGTGAGCCAAGAGTCCAGTGGAGTTCAAGTGGGGGTGGGCGAATAAGTGAGGAGGAGGGAGCGTGGCAGCGCGAGGAGGCGGAGAATAAGGTGGAGGCGAAGGAGGGCCACGGTGAGGGGGTGTGGGGAGGAGGAACAGCAGCACCGGCTGCCGATGGGGATGGGGAGGACCCAGAGGCGCGAGGGGAGAGGGAAGGCGATGGAGGGAGAGGGGGCAGGAGGGATATAGGAGGGGCGGGAACCCACCCCCCCCGACGAAATAGCGCAAAACCTCCCGTCGTGATTCTTGTCACGACGCGAGAGGGTCTGGGAATGAGGGGGGAAGCCTGGGAGGTGGGGAAGGCTCAGGCCTCCGACGACCCGCGGCGGCGGCGGCCGCAGCGGCGGCCGGCCCGCGGCGGCCAGCGCTGCAGGCGGACCGTGCGGCGCGCAGGGCGGAGTGCGGAGGCATCTCGGCGCAGGCGCGGCGCGGGGGGGTTCCACTACACGTAAGAGTGACACTTCGCCGGAGACCTTTGGTGCGGGCTCCTTGGGGTCCCCCCGATCGCTGAGCGCGATGCGATAGTGGCTGCTTGGGCGCTGGGGTTTGGCCACCCTGCGCCTCCGTGATCCGCGCACTAAAGGTCACTCTTGTCCAGGGTCACTCTGGCGTGTACAGTCGGGGCCCAGGAGAAGGAACCCTTTTCGTTGGGGAGGGGCTCGGTGTTCCTTGATTGTTTCACAGCTTGCCTTAGGTTTTTTCCATAGGTTTTCTATCTGGAATCGAAGTTTAACTTATGGGAAATAGGGGCCTCGTTCCTTATTTAGGGTTCCTTAGGTCAGCGCCCCGACTGTAGCCGAGGGGTCAGCTCGTGACCGCAGGGGGGAATCGGACGGGCCATCCCAGACCTCCTCGCGTTGTGAAAGTATCACGGCGGGAGGTTTTTCGCTACTTTCAATACGTCTGCGCGCCCTGGCCGGGCCTCGGGACCGTCCAACAAAGACCCAGGATACAAAACCAGTCCCGGGGACGGGGTCCAGACCTCCGGGGGTCGACGCTGCGAACAAAACACGACGTCGGGGGTCTGAGGTGGAGACTGGGCTCTGGGGCGGAGGCGTCGGGCCCCAGAATGCAGGTGCGAAAGGAGAACGTATACGGGCATGACTCCACACTGTTTTCTATGGTGCGCAGGGCGCGAGCGTTCGTGTCACGCAGCCCTTCTCACGGACTGGGGGGCCGTGCTCATGCACTTGTTCGGGCGCGTACGTCCTTCGTGGGTTCCCTACAAGCGCCCATCCGTCGCCGATGCCCCACAGGAGCGTGCGGTGTCGCTGCCGGGGGCCTATCGCGATCTGTTGGCGCTGTGTACAGTCGTGTTCGGCCTCTGGGGGCCATCGCCGGCGCCAGGAGCATCACTCACAAGAACGGTCCACGATGAAAAACCAGCCTTTGGGAAAGTGTCGGGGCTCCCGAGGACCACGTAGTGAGAAAAGCAGACATTGAGTCCCTGGGCTCGGACCGATCGATCCGATTCGATATCGGTTCGAGCCCATCCAATTCGATCCTTGTATTCCGACGAATTGACGCGACCAGATTCTCGCATACCGCCGTTGTGCATCTTGGCTCAGCCAGTCCGACGCGATGCCGGCATTGTGCCTATGCAGGCCGATCCGACGCGCATTCCGACTCGATGCGATTTCTCAATCATACACTGTTTGATAACGCCGCTCTGGGGCGCGCGTGGAAAGGGAATCCAGAGGGGATGCAGAAACACGAGCACGAGGCGGAGGGGAACGGACAAAAGGAGGAAGAGACGCCCCACCTTCATAGCTGGTGCCATGCAATCCTGCCCTGTTCGACTCTTTGCATGGTAGGTGCCCCAGTCATCGGCGGCGAGCCCCGGGGGGAAGCGAGAAGGGGCGGGCCTTCTCAGAAGGCTCGGAAGTCTCCCGGCCGTCTGACGTGTGATCGAAGCCTCTCCCGAAGATGGAGGACGCTTCTCAGAAGGCGCGAGGGCTTCCGAGAAGCCCCGCCGCCTTCTACGCAGGGCTTCTGCTTCTCACCTCCCCCCCCTCGCTCGGAGCTGAATGAAGGGCTTCGCTCGTACGGGGTGCCCTTTGCACCGGTAATTCCCTTGTGTTCCCAGTGGAAGACCGAGGAGGAGAGCGGCGGCCTGGGTTCGCGAGGGGGTCCGCGGCTACCCGCGTGCCTCCTTGCTCGTTTCCCGCGAACGCTTCAGGTCCTGATTGTTCTCTCTTTTTTTTTTTCTCTCTCTCTCTCTCTCTCTCTCCCTCCCCTCCCTTCCCCCCTTCCTGGCCTCTCGTTCTTCCCCTCTCCTTCCTCCTCGCGCGCGTCAGCTGCTGGTTGTCCCGATCACCCCGGGCACCCCGGGCATTCGGCAGCTCCGTGCCCTCGCTCGCTCTCGCTCTGCGCTGGTCCTCGCCTCTGGTTCTGGCATTCGCGCGCGTCAGCTGCTGGTTGTCCGCCTCCGTGGCCTCTGGCAGAGGGGAAAGAGGGCGGCGGCCTGGGGCCGGCAGAGGGCCGCGGGCGAAGGGGCGATGGGGGCCGCGGCGCTCGGGCCTCCCCTCGTCGCGGAAGGCGGGGGAGCGCGAACACGGACGAGGGTGCCGCGAAGGAGACAATGCGCAGAAGCATCTGAATTTTTGGCTCAAGTCGGGCCTGTCCCCCCACAGGGGGATTTTCAACGAAAAAATACCCCCCAAATAACCAAACACTAATAAACAAATAGTTAGGGGACTAATTTTTGAGTATTTGTTTGACCTTTTTGGGGCATTTTCGTCGAAAATCCCCCTGTAGGGGGACACGCCCGACATAACTTTTGGCGCTCCGCGCGGACCTCTCGGACCCGCGCTGGGCGCCCCCCTCCCCTGGCGCGCGGGGCGCGCCAGGGGCGGCGCCGGAGGCTCGCTCTGCGCGCCAGGGGGGGGGTCCAGCGCGGATCCGAGAGATCCGCGCGGAGCGCCACAAGTTCGTTAATATGCCGCTGTTTCTTCTTCCCGGCGCGTGGATCAGCGTCCGTACGACATCGGCGCGCGCTGTCGCCAAGTCAGGTGGCATTGTGTTCATGTGGCGCGTTCCAAAGCGGACCTCGCCTTCGAGGTTAGAAGGAGTTGTCATCTCTTCCTCGGCGGAAGGTGGCGGAAGGCCGGCGGAGGACGGCGGAAGTAAGACGGCGGCCTCTCTGCCGGCGGAAGCTCGGCGGAAGCCGGCGGAAGGAAAAGTCGACCCCCCCAGAGATGACAATATCTTTTGGTTCAGGGTTCGTGGGATCTTCCATGTGTCGGGGGTGCCTTTTCGATCTTTCTGTTGGTGCGCTCCCTGAGTGCATACCCGGACCCACCCCACAGTTCAGAGACAAGGGAACTGCTTGACGCATTTCGTCGGCAATCCCTTGCTGATCCTTTTGAGTTGCCCTTCCCCGTGGCCGAGATGTGGGGGCAAGGCTCGGCAAGTTGAGGCTGGCGACTGGAGGTTCTTGGTAGGCGTTGGCCCTTTGCGGGCTTCCCCGTGGCCCAGGACTTTCAAACAAGGAGTCGGGATGCAAAGCTTTTTCGGGGGAGGGGGTCTAGACCCCTGGGCGTCCACGCTGCGAACGAGTCACGACGACTGAGATTGTAGTGGCCTCCAGCCAGTGCCGCCGATCCAGGGCGCTCCCGATGATGATGATGATGATGATGATGATGATGATGATGATGATGATGATGATGATGATGATGATGATGATGCTGATGCTGATGCTGATGATGATGATGATGATGATGATGATGCTGATGCTGATGCTGATGATGATGATGATGATGATGATGATGATGATGATGATGATGATGATGATGATGATGATGATGATGATGATGATGATGATGTTGATGAATTGTTATGTGACGATGGTGATGGTGATGGTGATGGAGATGGTGATGATCCCGGCTCCCCTCACCCAACCCCCCTCCTCTCTCCTGTCCCCCCCCCCCCTTCCTCCACGCTGCGAAGGAGTCACGACGACTGAGATTTGAGAGAAGGGTGGGTCACCAGACCTCCGATGCCGCAGTTTCTTCCTCGCAGCGTGGGCCCCCAGAGATCGGACCCCCTTTTTTCGGGACTGGCCTTAAGTCGGGCCTGTCCCTCTACAGAAGGAATGTTCAAACATAGTCAAAAAATAGTCTTGGGACGATTTTTTGAACATTTTTGGGCAATTTGTTTAATACTTTTTGACTTAGTCGAAAATCCCCCTGTAGGGGGACACGCCCGACTTAAGACTGGCTCTCCGACCTGAGTGCAATTTATGACGATCCTGGTGCCCGGTGAGGGCCCCTGGAAGCCCAAAGTAGCGCAAAGTAGCCCAAAGTCATAGTTGTCTCATTCATTGTTGTGTCGATCGGCGCGGGTTCTCGCACCCCCCCCTCCCCCCAAAATGGAGTCGATGATTGGCTGTTTTGGGCGCCTATTTCGAGCAGGTGGAGTCTCCATAAGACGCACGGTTCCAAACAGTCGCACGGAGCAGATGTCCCGAGCCAGAACCCCCCTCCACCCCCCCCTTCCGCCCAATGTCGAAACGCCCCTCCTCTGGGGGGCAACATTTTTTGGTACAACAACAAGTGTTTTAATGCTTTTAATGATAAATGATTTTCCTTCTGAATAAGAAAACGATCACAAAGCGAACCGCACATATTCTTTTTTTCCACAGCGAGCGAAAGTGGCGGCCGCGAACAAGAACGGGGAACATGGGGCCGTGTGCGAAACCTGGCGCGTGCCGCAGGTCTCGGCCCCGCCGCAAAGGTTACGGCAGGCTCGCGTGGTGCCGACCGGCGGCGACCCCGCCGCCGGTGTTCCAAGGCGAACGCCGCGGGCGACCCAGAATGGGTCCCTTGGCATCGCTCGGACGTGTGCATTTTTCCTTCTGCGAGGGCCATCGAGGAGCATCCTTGATGATTGGGCGAAATAACCACGCACGAAACCGAAAAAACATAGGAAATGGACGTCCGAGCGATGGCGAGGTCCATGTCGAACGATGTGACGCTTCGGAAAGGGCCGAGCGTGCTCCATTTCTCCTAGAAGTGCCTACTCGCAGAGGTAACTCCCGGGCGGCCGACGCAGGCCAGTTGCGAGCAGCTACTGTGCGAGCGGTGGAAGGGACAGCGATTGTCGAGGAGGGGCCGATCACTCAAGGTTGAACGATGTCCCCGCGGTGCTAGAGATCCACGCCGAGGTCTGCACGACACGGGCCTGCCGCCTTGTCCTCGTGGAAGAGGCGGTCTCGCGGGGCTAGGGGGGCGCGCCCGGAGCACCAGCTCCATGAGCTGCTTCGCCGACCGCCCCATTTGGTGTCCCACGGGGAGGGCGGACGGGGAGGGGCGGAAGGAGAGAGGGGGAACAGCACGAGGAGGAGGAGGAGGAGGAGAAGGAGGAGGAGATCGAGCGGGAGGGGGTGGTGGAGCAGGAAGATGAGGAGACAGACGATGAGGAGGAGCGGGAGGAGGAGGAGAAGGCCCTTGTGCCATCCACATTGGTTGACGCGGCTGCGCCGCAGTCATACCACTCATGCCAAACAGCCCTGTGGTCAAGCTTCACGCACTCACATCGCTAGCCGGGGCACAGCCACCACCCTCTCTCCTCCTTCTCCCTGATGGTCCTCCTGGCTTTTTCTCCTCGATCTACTGCTGTCTACTTTTCGGCTACATGTATCCTGTAGCCGGCGAATCCAGGGGTGACCGCCCCTGCAGTCGTCAAGCCCTTGAGTTTGATCAGTCTCCCTCAGAGGCGAACGCCCCTGAGGGTGGGGATGGTCGCGGTTGACGAACCCTCAGGCCGAGAAATGAGGAGGAGGAGGAGGTGGAGGAGGAGGAGGAGGAGGAGGAGGAGGAGAAGGCGGAGGAGGAGGAGGACGAGGAGGAAGGGGAGGAGGAGGCGGAGCAGGATAAGGAGGAGGATGAGGAGCAGCAGCAGGAGCAGAATAAGGAGGAGGAGGAGGAGGAGGAGGAGGAGGAGGAGGAGGAGAGGAGGAAAGACGAGGAGAGGAGGTGGAGGGGCAAGAGGGGGGAGGAGGAGGAGGAGGTTGAGGAGGAGGAGGAGGAGGACGAGGAGGAGGACGAGGAGGCGGGACGAGGAGGAGGGGGAGGAGGAGGCGGAGCAGGATAAGGGAGGAAAAGGAGGAGGAAGAGGAGAGGAGAAGGGAGGAGGAGGAAGAGGAGGAGGGAGGAGGAAATGAGGCGGAGGGGGCGGAGGAGGGAGGGCAGGAGGGGCAGGAGGAGGAGGAGGAGGAGGAGGAGGAGGGGAGGAGGAGGAGAGGAGGAGGAGAGAGGAGGAGGAGGAGTTAGGGGAGGAGGCGGAGGAGGAGGAGGAGGAGATGGAGGAGGAGGAGAGGGATGAGACGGAGCAGAAGAGGGAGGAGGAGGAGAAGAGGAGCTGGAGGGGGAAGAGGAGAGACCACAAGCCGGAGTAGGACCAAGAGCAGGACGAGAGGAGGTAGGAGGGATTACTAGGATGCTGCTGATGATGATGATGATGATAATGATAATGATGATGCTGACACTGATGATGATGATGCTGATGATGATGCTGATGATGATGATGATGATGTTGATGCTGATGAGGGGGATTATGATTGTGGTGTTGTTGATGACGATGGTGATTAAAATGGTGACAGCTGTGCTGAAGTCGCTGATGATGCTGAGGATGCCAGGTATGTTGACGATGACGGTTAGTACGATTATGCGGATGACGATGATGAGGAGGAGGAGGATGATGATGGTGATGATGATGATATTGATGGTGCTCATGATGATGAACATGATGGTGTTGATGATGATGGTATTGAGGATGTGGATGATGATGCTGATGATGATGGTGCGGATGATGATGCACACGGTGATGGTGACGATTCTGATAGTAATGGTGTCCATGCTGATGCTGATACTGATTATGGTGAAGATGATGTTGCTGATGCCAACGATGATGCTGAGGATGATGGTGGTGATGCTGATGTCGATGCTGATGCGTATGCTGGTGCCGAGGCTGTTGAATATCATGAGTATGGGGGAGTGAGATTGAGGAGGAGAAGGAGAGGATGCTCAGGATGACTGTGATGCTGATGATGATGTTCATGATCGATCTGATGATGACGATGTTGATGACGATGCTGCTCATGATGATGACGATGAGGATGTCGATGATGATGATGCTGATGATGATGAGTATGATGATGATGATGATGAGACTGATGATGAAGATGATGCTGATGATAATGTTGCTAAGACGGAGGGGAATGATGAGGATAATAATGGTGGCGGTGTTGATGATGTTGCTGATGTTGCTGATGATGTTGATGCTGATGTTGACGACGATGGCGATGACGATGATGGTGGTGATGATGATGATGCTGATGATGATGCTGATGATGATGCTGCTGATGATGATGCTGATGCTGATGATGGTGATGATGAAGAGAAGGCGGAGGAAGAGGAGGAGAAGGAGGAGGATGAGGATATGTACAGGAGCAAGAGGATCAGGAGGAGGAGAGCAGGAGGAGAAGGAGGAGGAGAACGGAGGAGGGGGGGGGGGGGCGGGAGGGAAAAAGGGGGGAGGAGGACGAGGCGTAGGAGGAGGAGGAGGAGAGGACGAGGAGGAGGAGGAGGGACGAGCGCAGGAGAAGGAGGAGGAGGAGGGACAGAGGAGGAGAGGAGGAGGAGGGAGGAGGAGGAGGAGGAAGGAGGAGGGAGGAGGAGGACGAGAGGGGGATGTCAGGCCGATCTCCGCCGCCCCTCTTTAGCCCTAATTGCCCCGAGGTGGAGGAGACGGGGCGCCTTCTCCTCAAGGAGGCGCGCGCGCGCGAGGCGCCCGTGCTCCCCGCTGCCGCTGCTCTCCCCCGCCCGGCCGCTGTCCCTCCTCCTCCTCCTCCTCCTCCTCCTCCTCCTCCTCCTTCCCCTCGCCACTCCTCCTCCTCCTCCTCCTCCTCCTCCTCCTCCTTCTCCTCCTCCTCCTCCTCCTCCTCCTCTTCTCCTCCTCCCACCCCCCCTTTGCTTCCTCGGAGGAGGAGGAGGGAGGAGGAGGAGGAGGAGGAGAAGGAGGAGGAGGAGGAGAAGCATCAGGAGGAGGGAGAAAGAGGATGAGTAGAAGAAGAAGGAGGAGGACCATCGCATGACTTCAAGACGGGTTCGACTCCGCCCTTCTAGGGCGGCTCGAGCGTTTGCGAGGCTGCGCTTGGGCAGGCCCTAGCAATCGGAATGGGGGCTTTGAACACCGCTGGGCTTCTCTTCGAGCCTTTTGGGTGCCTCCCGTCACACAAAGTTTGCCACGCACTTTGGCTGAAAGTGGAGTTGGATATGATGATGCAACGCTGGTGGAGGCCTTTGAACGTACACCCCGTGTGCTTCCCCCACCTTACAAGCAAGGGCGAAGGAATCGTCTTCAATCTTATCAATAACAGAGTGTTGGTGCCCATATGTATGGGCCAGAACGACCAAGGACCTCTCTTGCGCTGGCAAGTTGTAGGCACGAGCCACGAGGTCTCTGGCACCAGTCTTGTGCCGAGCGCCTGCTGGCAAGTTGTATAGCCACGAGCCTCGAGATCTCTCGAGTCAGTCTTGTGCCGAACGCCTGCTGGCAAGTTGTTTAGACACGAGTCTCGAGATCTCTCGGGTCAGTCTTGTGCCGGACGCCTGATGGCAATTTGTCTAGCCACGAGCCTCGAGATCTCTCGAGTCAGTGTTGTGCCGAGCGCCCAGGATCACCATCATGATCCTCCTCATCACCATCATAACTTACCTTCCCCGGGCAACTCCGTTGTTATCCCCGCCGAACCCCCGAACTTGATTTCCCCCTGGTGATTAATATCGCTCGTGGTCGGTTAGCTTGGCAAGGCCTGCTGCATTGCTGGGGCACTTCTCGTTCTCTTGTGCCTTCATGGAGGCTTCCTCGCTACATCTCGAGTGGCAGATCATACAGAGCCATCGGCTTTTCTGGCGGCGCCACGCGTGCGCGGTGTGGACGGTCCGAGGGGCCCGAGGGGGGGTGGGGAGGGGTCGCCGCAGCCCCAGGCCCAGGAGGACCCACTCTCATGGCTCTGCCTTGCCACGATTCCGGGATCGACGCTGCTCCTGCTTCTGGGGCCGGTGGCCTGCACAACGGCCTCCAGCCCCCTGCCCCCCACACACTGGGGGCCACGCTGGGCCGCAGGGCGAGGGCCTTCGGAACGTACTCGAGGAACCGTTTCATAATTCTGGCCAGCTCCTCGGATTCGGCACGCTCTTGATCGGAGGGCCGAGGGGGCCTATTTATTTGCAGCCATCTTTGGCCGCACTGTCAGCTTCCGAAACTTCCCGTGGCGTGCCACCCACGATCCGACAGGGGCTCAAGCTCGCTGATTGCATGGTGGGCTTTGGCCGCATCTACACGGAATCCTCTGCTGTCACGGCAGGTTTCACCCCGCTTGCCAATGGAACTTGAGACATCGAATTGGCGAAACTGGGGGTGTTGCGGAAGTCTACAACCCCCATTGAAATTTGAATGCACCGTGGTAATAATTTTGACTTTGCCGGAGGCAGGGTGAGCTGGACATTCGGTTGCTGGCCAGGTCGGGGGGGGACCACCCCTCACGGGCCTACACGAATAAGCTGAGACAGAACCGTCGGGCCCTCAGCCTATCAGGGCCCAGCCATGTGCGTGAAACCAAGGATGGCCGTCCCTGGTTACACTGCCGTCTACATACATCTCCCCCGCAAAAGGCTTCTTCGGCCGAAAGGCCTTCGACAGACCAGAAATCAGAAACATCCAGACCGAGTCCTGGCGGCCTGTGGACCTGTGGACCTTAAGGGGAGGCTCAGGAAAGCAAGCACATTCAGCAAAGGCCTCACGGCGACTTAGAGCGATCAGGTCGTCAGGTTCCAGCTGATTATTTGTGAGGGGGGCTGACGCGCTGCACTGCCTGAGGTCATCCTTCGGGGCTCCACAAATGCACTGAGTGGGGGTATCAGATCCTGTTTCTCTGAGGCGTCTGAGGGTCCAGATCGGCTCGGCGAGGATGGCGAGGAGGGTGCTGCGCTCGTTGCTGGGTGGGTCCTTTCTGCCAAGCGCCTGCAGAGCATAGGAGAGGTCCATGGCGTCGGTGTCTATCTTCCTTGCTGCAACACCTGCGAGATCCTCCTTCCAGGCTGCAACCAGGAAGCTCTTCAAAAGGGCCAGCGAGGTCGTAGGTACAGGGGACTGTTCTTCTGTTTGGCTGGTGAAAAGGAACGAGCGGGCCCAGGCCCAGGCCCAGAAAGGTAGCTCCTGGAGGGCTCCGAGAACGCGTAGCACACTTGGGTCCATCAATTTTCAGAAATCGATCTCGGGCTCGTTGACATAATCCCAAGACTTCCGTTCCAAAGTCGCCTGCTTGTGGAAGCCCCGTATTCCAAAGCTTCCTGGCATCAGCACCAGCCAGTCTGGGAGCACGCAGCCTGCGCTGCCGAGACTTTTAGCTGGATGGCAGCACGTCCTTTGAATGTCCTCCTGGCTCGGCTCCTAAGTCTGGCACCTGCAGCGAACGCTGCACCTAAGTTGGCGGCCGACGGCGCGCGGCTGCCGTCGGCAGCAGCTGGCCCGGCCCCACCTGCCCAAGGCGCGAGGCCGGATCGGCTCGGATCGCCGGCGACGAGGCCACAGCAGCAGCCAGGTGGCTGGCGAGTGCACGGTTGAGGTCGTGGACGATCGCTTGGCGCATGCTAGCTGAGGCCCTGACGCGATCAATGGTGAGATGTTTCTGGCTGCTGCTGTGGCTGGGCAGCAGGAGATCGTCAGTGAAGCTCGGCGGCTGCAAACTGGGCTTGTTGACAACCCAGACATCCACTGGCGGGAGACAGCACTGCTGCATGGCAGAGGGGGGCTGCGCAACATCCTGCACCACTGCCTTCCTGCGGACATCCGGCTGGCAACGCAGAGGTACGAGTAGCTACAGTGCGGGGGGCCTGGTACTGGTTACATCTGATCCCTGCGAGGGAGTCCGAGACAGCCGTTTCCTAGGCTCGGGCTCCCCAGGTAGAGTTGTCGACCGATTCATTGTAGTTTGAAAGATCCCAAGGAGCCGCCCCAGAGAGCACTTTCTTGTCGTCCAGGACCTTTTGGTTGCAACCTGACTCTGGTAATTGAAGCTTGCAACATTCCACATTTACACACTTACACCACTACACCTTTACACCATTATGTAGAAGGGTGCGCCGCTGCACCACTACACCATAACACCATTCCCAGAATAGTGTACGCGTAAAACACTACACCATGACACCACTACATCATTTTGACACAGGCGTCATAATTACACCTTTGCGCCATTACACCAGACCTGGGAATAGGGTAAGACTTACACCATTACACTATTACGCCATTACGCCATTACGCCATCACGCCATCACGCCATACATTTGTCGCGGGCGTGGTCGTCGCCAATCGCTTTCGTTGTCGTCAACGACGCGACGAATGCGTTACCGATTCCTCTTCTCCCTTTTCAGAGGAGGAGGAGGAGGAGAAGAAGAACAAGAAGAAGGAAGAGGAGGAGGAGGAGGAGGAGGAGGAGGAGGAGGAGGACTTGCGTATCGAACTTGCGGGTGGGACTCCTGCCCGCAGGCCGCTTTAAGACCCTGGCGTGGACAAGCTACCGCCCCACTAGGCCTACGGCTGCCACGCCAGGGGTGGTGGACGTCACCGCACAGCGGTCCGTCCAACCCCCCAGGGGTGAATGGTCGAGGGGAGAGAGAGGGGGGTGGGGTGCGAGGGCCCGCCGAGCCGACCGTGGCTGCTTCGAGGGCACGCAGGCCACCCCTGGGGGTTGGTTGCCGGGAGGGCAACGATGCACCGCTTGCGGCCCCATCCCCCCCCCGCCCCCCCGGCTGCCCGGCCCCCTGGGGGGGGGGTCCTCGGAGGCCCCGCGGGTCGGGTCGCCGGGCCCGTTGGCCGGCAACCCGCGAGCAGGCCGCGTTGCGGGTCTGGGTGGGGCCGCGGCGGGAAGGAGAGGAGGAGGGAGAGGAGGAGGAGGAGGGAGGAGGAGGAGGAGGAGGAGCAGGAGGAGGAGGAGGAGGAGGCGTGAAAAGGTCAGATCCAGGGAAGATCCAGGGAAACTCACAGCAGCATGATCTGCCCGTTTCATGTTAGGGGGTACTGTCTTCGCTTTCCTCTCGTTGCATGTGCATGTTAGGGGGTACTGTCTTCGCTCTCCTCTTCTCTTTCAGGCATGGGCTTCGAACATCTCCAGCCCTTCGTTAGCGAACGAGCGAGCGAGCAAGCGAGGCGGAGGAGGAGGAGGAAGAGGATAAGGAGAAGGAGGAGGAGGGAAGGGGAGGCGGAGGAGGAGGAGGAGGAGGAGGAGGAGGAGGAGGAGGAGGAGGAGGAAGAGGAAGGGGAGGATGAGTAGGAGGTCCCCAGCGACCCCCCAAACCCCGGCGGGCTAGAAAGCCGTGCTGCGGGTCCGAGCGGGGCGGCGGCTGGAGGCAGAGGGGGGGATGAGGCAGGGGGGACCCCGCCCCTGCCAATCCCGGAGACTGCGCCGGCTAGCGGGCCGCGCTACGAGCCTAAGCGGCATGGGGGCAGGGAGGGCATGAGGGAGGGAAAGGCGGGCCCCCCCCCCCCCCGCCGACCCCCTAAGACCTCGGCGGCAAGAAACCGTGTAGCGGTCTGAGCGGGACGGCGGTGGAAGGGAGAGGAGGAGCGAGAAGGGGGGGAAGAGGCCCCCACCCACGCCGACCCCCCAAAGAATCGGCCGGGTGTGAGGCCGCGCGGTGGGCTTGAGCGGGACGGCGGTGGGAGGCAGAGCAGGGGGAAGAAGAGGGCGTGGCCCCTACCCCTGCCGACCCCCCAGGACCTCGGCCGGCGAGGAGCCCGCGCTGCGGACTGGGCGGGGCGGCGGCGGGAGGGAGAGGAGGAGGGAGAGGAGGGGAAGGCCCCTACCCGCGCCGACCCTCCAATACCCTGGCCGGGTGGGAGGCCGAGCGGGGCGGCGGAGGAGGGCGGGGAGGAGGAGGAGGACGAGGAGGAGAAGGAGGAGGAGGAGGAGGAGGAGGCGGAGGAGGGCGAGGAGAAGGAGGAGGAGGAGGAGGAGGAGAAGGAGGAGGAGGAAACAAAGAAAGAAAAAAAGGAGGAGGACGAGGAGGAGGACAACGACGAGGATGAGGAGGAGGAAAGAGGAGGAGGAAAGAGGCTGGGAGGAGTAGGAGAGAGGAGGAGGAGGAAGAGGAGGAGGAAAGGAGGAGAAGCGAGGAGACGAGGAGGAGGCGGAGGAGAGGGAGAGAAGAGGAGGAGGAGGAGGAGGAGGAGGAAGAGGAGGAGCACGGAGGAGGAAAGAGTAGGCGGAGGAGAACGACGACGAGGAGGGGGAGTACGAGGAGGGAGAGGAGGAGGACGACGACGACTGAGCGGCCGCGCAGGCCCTCGGCGAGCGCACGCACGAGGACAACGCCCGGCTCGCGGAGCGGGTGCAGGCGCTCTCGCGCTGGCAGGCCCGCCCCTCGCCGCGCCGCCCGGCCCGCCGCGCCGGCCCGGCGTCGGAGGGCCCCAGCCACGCGGCCTCCTCCTCCTCCTCGCCCTCCTTCGCTGGCAGGCCCGCCCCTCGCCGCGCCGCCCGGCCCGCCGCGCCGGCCCGGCGTCGGAGGGCCCCAGCCACGCGGCCTCCTCCTCCTCCTCGCCCTCCTTCGCCCTCCTCCTCCTCCTCCTCGCCCTCCTCTCGCCTCCTCGCCCTCTCCTCCTCCCTCACCCTCCTCCTCCTCCTCCTCCTCCTCCGCCTCTACTACTACTCCAACTAACTATTACGACTCTACTATCTACTACTGCTTGTACTGCTACTGCTACTGCTATCTACTGCTACTGCTATGGCTACTACTACTACCTACTACTAACTACTACGTACTACTAACTACTACTACTCTACTACTACCTACTACTACTACTCTACTACTACTACTACTACTACTCCACTGTGTTTATTTTTTTTTACACTACTTACATAACTACTACTACTACTACTACTAACTACTACTACGACTAACTACTACTACCTCTTACTATACTACTAACTACTACTACTACTACTACTCTTCCTCCTCCTCCTCCTCCTCCTCCCTCCTCCTCCTCCTGCTCCGCGCCTCCGGCCCTGCCTCCTCCTCCTCCTCCCTCCTCCTCTGCTCCTGCTCCTTCTCCTCCTCCTCCTCATCCGCTCCGCCTCCTCCTCCTCCTCCTCCTCCTCCTCCTCCTCCTCGTTCCTTCTCATCCTTCCCCCTTCTACCCCCCTTTTTCCCCCCCAACCTCCCCCCCCCCCCCTTCCCCCCCCACCTTCCTCCTCCCTCCTCTTCCTCCTCCTCCTCCTCCCCCCTCTTCTCCTCCTTCTCCTCCTCGTCCTTCTCATCCTCCTCCCCCTTCTGTGCCTCCTCCTCCTTCTTCTCCTCCTTCTCCTCCTCTTCCTCCTTCTCCTCCGCCTCTCTGGAGGCACCTGCGATGCCTGTCCACTCGGCGGGCGTTGCGCGTTGCGTACGTGGCGTGCTGGCGCCGCTGGCGGCCCACGCGAGCCGCTGGCGTTCAACGCTGCACGCCGCCGGCGTCCCAGGATCTGTCGATGTCGAACGATTTGACTTTTTCGAAACGGCCGATCGAGGTTGAACGATCCCCGCGGTGAAGGTGCGTTACGATAGTTGTTTGTTTTGTGTGTTTTCTTGCACGGTGTATCACCGTCTCCGTTGCCGTTTCGCTCGAGCTGCTTCACTTGCGAGCAGCATCCTAGAGATGCCGCTCACGCTCACAGGCCCCCAGGGCGACGCCTGCACCCCAAACGTGCAGTTCGAAAAAGTAGATTCGAACTCAATCACATACTGATTTCGAAAAGCAGGCTGCAGGCGCCCGTGGCAGTAGTTCTGCCACGCCTCTCGTGTCCCCTCGCGGGTCCTGTCCAAACAATACCGACTGTAAAGGGCCCTCGGGAGTCAAAATGGGGCAGGTGAAGTACACGTGTTGCACCATGCGAACAGGGCGCCCCGCGGCCGAGGAGAGAGGAGAAGGACGAGGAGGTGGAGGAGGAGGAGGAGGATCATTGTAAACCCAAGAATCATCAACGATGCTGGAAGTAACCGTCCTTCCAAGCTCCTTTTTCCATTGGCCCCTACAACACGGTTCATTTCCATTGAGGGAACTTCTTCGTTGGAAGACAACCGCTTGAAGACCCTGAACCATGCCAAAACATAGTGCTCGGGATTTCAACGGCACGGATCAACCTGACTGCTGCGCCTTGACGGTCCGGAGTCTTGCCAGAAAGCCATTTCTTGTGACTTAAACCGCGAATCAACATAGCTAATGCATAATCCTAAATCCTTCCAAAACATTATTTCTGGTACGTCAATCATGGGAATCCGTGAAGCCCTTCCAAATGTTTAAAACGAGTGTGCGCGGCGCTAAAAAGAGAACCACATTTTGAAGACGACCCGCCCTCAATCCGTGCAACTCTTGCACATGTTCAAAACGAATATGCGCGGCGCTAACGCGAGAACCACATGTTGAAAACCACCCGCCCTTGAGCCGTGAGACTCGTGAATATGTTTAAAACGAGTGTGCAGAGCGCTAAGGCGAGAGCCACATGTTGAAAAACGGCCCGCCCTCAATCCGTGCAGCTCTTCCAGACGTTCAAAACGATTTGCACGGCGCTAAGTCGGGAGCATTACTGTGAAAACGACCCGCCCCTCAATCCATGAAACCTGTCCAAGTGTTCAAAACGAGTGTGCGCTGCGCTAAGGCAAGAGCGACATGTTGGAAACCACCCGCCCTCCATTTGCGAATTTGCTGCCTCTGCTTAAGTTTCAGAGTCACGAAAGGCGATGAAGTCTCAGGCGAAACCCCCGGCCCGCCCTGAAAACTGGCCTCGGGGTTTGACAGGGAGAGGTTACTCATGAGGGAGATGGGTGGAGGAGGGGCAGGAGGAGGAGGAGGAGGAGGATCAGGAGGAGGAGGAGGAGAGGAGGAGGAGGAAGGGAGGGGGAGGGGGAGGGGAGGAGGAGGAGGAGGAGGAGGAGGAGGAGGAGGAGGAGGAGGAGGAGGAGGAAGAAGGGGAGGAGGAGGAGGAGGAGGAGGAGGAGGAGAGGAGGAGGAGGAGGAGGAGCAGGAGGCGGAAGGAAGGGAAGAGGAGGAGGAAGAAGAAGGGGAGGGGAGGAGGAGTGAGTAGGGAGGAGAGGAGGAGGAGGAAGGGGAGGAGGAGTAGGAGGAGGAGGAGGAGGAGAGGAGGAGGAGGAGGAGGAATGAGAGGGGGAGGGGAGGAGGAGGAGAGGAGGAGGAGCAGGAGGAGGAAGAGGAGGAGGAGGAGGAGGAAGAAGGGGAGGGGGAGGGGAGGAGGGAGGAGGAGGGAGGAGGGAGGAGGAAGAGGAGGGGAGGAGAAGAAGGGGAGGGGGAGGAGGAGGAGAGGAGAGAGGAAGGGAGGGGAGGAGGAGAGGAGGAGGAGAGGAGGAGGAGGAGGAGGAGGAAGGAGGAGGAGAGGAGGAGGAGGAGGGAGGGGGGAGAGAAGGGAGGAGGAAGGAGGAGGAGGAGGAGATAGGAGAGGAGGAGGATGAGAGGAGGAGGAGGAGGAGGAGGAGGAGGAGGGGAGGAGGAGGAGGAGGAGGAGGAAGAGGGGCACGAAGGGTGCACGTGTCTCCGCCCCCGCACCAAGCAGCGCCCCAGGCCCGCTGGAGTCCCCCCCCGCGCTGGCCTGCGCGCTTTGGTCTGCGGCCTCCCCCGGCGGCCTTCCGGAAGCCGCGCAACGAGGGCCACGCTTGCCTCCAGGGCCTAAGTCGGGCACGTGCCTCTACAGTCGGGCACCGTGCCTCGAGTCCCCCGAAAGCATGGGAAGGTATGGGAATGGGGGGGGCGGACAAAAGAGCCAAGAAGAGATGGGGAAATGTGGGGGAATCCTGTTATCTGTGTCTATTTATTTGTGTGTCCCAGGGCCCCTTCAAGAAGTCGGGCACGTGCCTCTACGGGAGGAAGATTCAAGACTAGTCAAAGAATGGGCAGGGGACGAGTGTTCCACTACTTTTGCAGATTTGGGGGGATCTGCCACATGGTCCTTCCGAACTCCGTCCGCCTGTGGGGGGACATGCCCGGCCGAACCCTAGGCCTCCTAGATAGGGTCCGGGTAGATGGGGTCAGAGGATCGCGCCGCATCGGCCAGGCATCGGTGATGCGGCTCGATGTGGAGCCCGATCTTCTCCACGCCGGCGTCGCCGATGCACCGCCGATGTCGCCGATGCATCGCCACTGCAGGGCCGATGTTGCTTAAACCATTTTCGGCCTCCGTTGGCCCTCACCTGGCCCCAGGACCGTCATAGAACGACTGCTGCTGAAAGACGGGTCCAGGGCTGGGGACTCGGCAGCTTTGTCTTGGACGCCCGAAAAGGGTACGAAGAAAATGGGTACGACGTCCGCCCCTTGCGCGCTCTGCGCGCCAGGGAGGGGGGTGCAACGCCGATCCGAGAAATCTGCGCGGACCTCCGAGTTTTGTTGTTTATCTCGGTCTCATTGTTTGTTTCCCTAGTCTTGAGCTTTCGTTGCATGGGCGCCTCTGGTTTCTGGGGAAGGAAGCCCCAGACTCCATATTGCTGTGCCCGCATCCTGAGGTCCAGAGCGTTCGCTTTCGAGCAGTGGTTGAGCGCCCTGGCTTGCCTATAGGCCCACCAAGAATGCTCTAATCACTTTTTGAGCATTTCATGCTGAGATTGTCCTGTTGTAACACATCTGGTATCTGTTATAAGACATTGGTTTTGCTTGTTGTTCTAAGAACATTCATTGGTAGACCTATAGGAATGCTGGAACGTTTGGTCCCTGGTCCATGCTTGGCGGGTCGGTCAGGAGCCTTGAGACGAGGATCACGTCGCGCGGGTCAATGTCGGGAGTGGCGAGGACCTTGGCGGGTCGGTCGGGAGCCTTGGCGTGTCGGCCGGGTCAATGCCGGGCGGGGCTGTGACGAGGACAATTCCGTTCCAGTGCGTTAGGGAATGCTCTCAGAGCGTTCCGGAGCGCTCTGAGAAGGCCGCGGCGCCCGAGACATCCTCCAGAGCCGCTGGATCTCAGAGATTCTGGATTCATCCTCGCCCGATTTTATCCTCGTCCTGGCTTCATCTTACAGTGCAGACGGGGGTCCGTCAGAGTGCCGGATCTTGCGACCCTGCTGATTTTGCAGGATCCTGCAAAGTCCGACTGGCCCTGGCTCGGATCCCAAACCCCCGACGTTGTGATTAGTTCATGACGTGACGCCCAGGAGCCTGGACCCCTTCCCAGGGACCAGCGTTTCATCCTGAGTCGTTTTCGACAGTCCCGAGGCCCGGCGAGGGCCCTTGGAGGCTGAAAGTAGCGCAAAACCTCCCATCGTGATGTTTGCCCAACGCGAGGAGGTCTGGGATTGGCCCCGGTCAGTCGATCCCCCCTTTGGCGTGGCGCGCCAAGCGCGCTCCAGTCACCAAGCGCCAGCGCCCCGAGCTTGTCGCGGCCGCCCGCGGAGCGGAACGACCCGCCCTCCAGCAGCAGGGCACGCGGCGTGTCGCCCGAGCCCGTCCCGCGGAGCCAGGCGACCCGCGCTCCCCTGACAGGGCACACTGCGTGTTGCCTGGGACCGCCGCCGCGACACCCCAAGCAAGCGCCCCCGACCGCAGCCAGGGTGGGGTGGGGTACGCGCCCGTTGGGCCCCCCGGTCGCTGGGTGCGATGCGATAGCGGCAGATGGCGCGCTTCGGCTTGCCCCTCCCCCCCCCCCCCTCCTCCCCCCCCCCTTTGCTCCCCCTGAAGCCGTGCGCCAGGGGGCAAGTGTCATCTCTCTTGCCTGGGGGCACTCTTTCGCGCGCAGCCGGTTCCCTCCCGCCCGATGGAGCGGGGGAGAGCGCGGGGGTAGCCTGGACTCCTCGTCCTCCTCCTCGGCTTCGCCCTTTCATGGGAGGGAGAGATACCGATGTTCACTCGTCCCACGGGAGCCATCGCCGCAACGGCCGGATTCTGGTCAAAATAGCGGCTAGAACGCACCCCAGGAGATTTCCAGAGAATACCATGGTGTATCGTTATTTGTTTGATCCCTCTTTCGTCGAGGAAATGCCGGGAAGGACGATGAGGTGGAGCCGGAGGAGGAGCGTAGCACGGATGGAAGGCTCTCTTGCTCGTTCTTTTTTGCTCCTCGGCGATGGGTGCCCTCCGCATATGGCCCAATTGAGGCGGGCGGAGGCACTGCTGAAGCCTGGCCGACCGTCCATGAGCGGAACGGGCTTCCCGAGGTGATGACATGGGATGGGTCCAATGCAGTCACAGGGGGTCGTTTGGGGATCATTCCTCCTCCACTCCCTTTCCTCCTCCTCCTCCTCCTCCTCCTCCTCCTCCTCCTCCTCCTCCTCCTCCCCCTCCCCCTCCTCCTCCTCCTCCTCCTCCACCTCTTCCTCCTCCTCCTCCTCCTCCTCCTCCTCCTGGCTCAAGTCGGCTCTCCACTGGCTTGGGCGGTACTCGTCTAGAGCCTCCATATGCTGGATGTCTTGTGCGCCGCCCATCCGCGTGCGGCCCCCCGGCAGACCTCTGGCAGCGCCGCCCGTCGGGCTCGGGCGCGAAAGGTGGCCATCCGGCATGCGCAAGTGCAGGCGCTGGCCGTGAGCCGCCTGCTGGGGTGCAGTACCCCGCCCGGACTGGACCTCGGCTTCGAGAACACGCGCTTCGCGGACACCGCGTACGGCCTCGAGCTGCCGATCGAGCAGGCACGCGATACGGACGCCCAGTACGACCTAGTACTGGACACGCTCGGGATCGCGCCGTCCGTGCCGACGACCGCCCCGCTCCACAGGGGCGACGAGGAGGAGGACACCAACTTCCTCACCACGGAGGCGCCGAATATGCCGCTTGTCGTCGAGGACTACACCATCACCAAGCGCGGGACCCTGCAGGAGGACCAGATCACCGCGAACTCCGAGGATGGAGACCTCGAGCCTTCGACCAGGGAGGCGCCCTACGTGCCATCTTTCGTCGAGAACTACGGCTTCATCATGCGAGACACCCTGCAGGAGGAAAAACTCAAGAACGCCTTCGAGGGCGGAGGCAACCACGACTCTAACAAGGAGGCGCAGTGCGTGCCGCCAGACATCGAGAACTACGGCTCCACCGCGGAGACCACCATGAGCAACACCCTGCAGGAGGAGAAGCTTCCAGAGGACAAGGACATCGACTTCCTGGCCATGGAGGCGCCGCACGTGCTGCAGAGCGGTGAGACAGACGGCAGCACCATGCGCGCAACCCTGCAGGAGGAGAAGCTCATTGATACTGTCGAGGGGGAGAAGCTCTTCGAGAAGCAGAACGACGTTGAGGAGGAGAAGGCGTGAGGCACGCAGGTGGAGTCTACACTTGCCATTGTCTTATGCTGGAGCTACAAGGACTCTAACGGGAACTGGCAGAGCGTGAACGACAAAAGCCAGCACGATAAGATCGAAACGAAGTACTTGGAGCACCTCCTCGACAGCAGCCAACACGTCGCGAAGGTCGACATGCTCGACGCGCGCCTCGTTATCACATTCAAGGCTGGGTACTTCAGACCAGCAGGGGGCCGAGGTGTATCAGAGCGTCGTGACATCAGAAGCAGATCATCAGCTCTGCCAGGTAGTGAACACCAGTACCCTATGCACCCTCTTCCGAATGGGCCGCCGCGGCTGTAGTAGGCAGTGTGCTCTGGTATTGTTGCTCGCATATGCTGAGCTCTTCTCTGTTGTGCGCACGCCTTGCTTGTTGCATGTGACATCTGTGCTCGCACATGAAGATACGGAGATTGTCCTGCCAGTTGCCCCGCCGCCGCCCTCTCACGGAAGAGGCCCGGCGGGGAGCTTCGTGAAAAGCTGGCAGGATGGAACAGCAGTTTGAAGGCTGCCCCCCGTTTTTCCCTGCCCATCCCTGCCGTCCTGCTCCTCAAAGTTGGGGCGGTGATGCAGGGCGATTGAAGGAGAGAGCGGATGTAACCCCAAGGTGAAGGTTTGGGTCGGGTCGTCCAAACCTTAGCCTTCCCCCGTAGCATGTGATGGTCCTTCTCCTCCTCCTCCTCCCTCCTCCTCCTCCTCCTCATCATCCTCCTCTTTCCTCCTCCTCCTCCTTCTCCTCCTCCTCCTCCTCTTCCTCCTCCTCCCTCCTCCTCCCTCCTCCTCCTCGTCCTCCTTCTCTGCCTCCTCCTCCCTCCTCCTCCCTCCTCCTCCTCGTCCTCCTCCTCCTCATCATCATCCTCCTTCCTCCTCCTCCTCCTCCTCCTCCTCCTCCTCCTCCTCCTCCTCCCCCACGCCTCCGACTCCCTCGCGTAACGCGCCCAGCGTTTCATGTCTCTGGCGCGCCCAACGTCTAAAAACATGCAGGGGGGTGCAACCTCGCTGTTGGAAGAGAGGGGGGCATCGACGACGAGGGAGGCGGAGCGGGCGTAACAATATGAGAAATGAGTTGGAGAGGGAGGGTGGGATTCTCATGCGACGAGGAACGAGGAGGCGGAGGCACACATTAAACACGATGATTCAAATCGCTGGGAGGAGGAGGAGGACGCGGACCCAGACCCAATCAGTTTTTGTTGTTTTGTTTACAACGTCGACACCCAGACTTGACCCACGGTCCCGAGGCCCGGCGAGGGCCACCCGAGGCCGAACATGGCGACCCCCCGACGTTTTTGTTCATGACTCGATGGGGTTTGGGGATGAGGGCGAGGATGCTTGCAGGGAAGATGTCGAGGATGAGAGAGTGCCGAGGCAGTCGAGGGCGAGGATGCTCCAGAGCGGGATGGAGGCGTAGGACCGAGGCAAGGGGGGGAAGAGAGAAGGAGAGGAAGGCGACGAAGATGACGACGGATGATTACGAGGAAGATGCACGAGGACGAGGAGGATCGGCCACGCGCAGAGAAGGGTCGAGGGAGGGTGGGGGAGGCTTCTCAGCGGCGCCCCTGCTTCTTTGAAGGCGCGGGCTCTGTTTATGGACGTAAGGCCGGCGCCGTCCAAGAAGCAGCCTCCTTCTAAGGAGCCGCCCCCTTTCCCCCTACCCCCTTGTGCGCGCCGCAAGAGAGAAGGACTCGACGAGGGAGGAGCAGTGGGAGCAGTGCGGAGGACGAGGGAGGAAGCTGGCGAGGAGCCGATGGCCAGGAGGACGCGATGGGGGAGCAGAGGAGGAAGGGGGCGAGGGAGATTCCCCCCCCCGCGAGGCGGAGAAGGGCCAGGAGCTGGCCGACCAGGCCGGCCCCCAGTTTTTGACTTGCTGCGCGGGCGCGAGGGGGAGGCGAGGGAGGCGGGGGAGCCACAGACGTCGATCCTCCCTATCTCATCCTCCTGTTCCCAATCTCTCCTCCTCCATCCTCCTCCTGCTCCTTCTGCTCCTCCTCCTCCTCCTCCACCTTCTCCTCCACCTCCTCCTCTTCCTCCTCCTCCCTCCTCCCTCGTCCTCCTCCTCCTCCTCCTCCTCCTCCTTTTCCTCCTCCTCCTCCTCCTCCTCCTCCTCCTCCTCCTCCTCCTCCTCCTCCCTCGTCCTCCCACAGCAGTCCAGCTTCAGTCGCAGCGTCTTTGGTGGATTCGGACCACCGCCAGGGACCCCGCAAATCACGAGCACGTTCTCATGGGAGTATTCGGGACCACGCAGCTTGACAAAAGCATGAGGCGTCGCAGACTAGACAGCGCGGGCAGGGAGTATGAGCACAGTGCCCCGTGGGCAAAACAGTAGTTTGCAGATATGAACATGCAGCTAAGTCCACCGAGGTGCACAGAGAGGACCACTACCAGAGAAAGGGCGCGTGCCCGAACGTAGACTGCACGAGCGGATGGCATGGCACTTGTTTGGTTTGCGGGTCGGGAGCGGGCCCCTTCCGGTCAAGAGCTAAACGGGACGCGGGTAGCCCTAATTGGGGAGACAGGGCGCGGGCGGGCGGGGCCTCGGGCGGCCGGAGGGCTCAGAAAACAGGCGGTGCCGAAGATCTTGCACAGGACAAGGTACGCCATGGACTGGAGCAGGGGGCGCCGAGTAGGCATGGCCCACGAAACATCAAGGGGCTCTCGAGAGATGTCCCAGCAGCAGCAGCAGCAGCAGCAGCACTTAAGAATCTTGAGGTCGACCAGCGCAGAACATGGCCAGAGCGCGCACGTGACAGAAAGCGAGCGGCACGCGGGCACCGACTGCACGGGGAGGATGAAGAAGTACGAGGGGGAGCGCCTATGCATGCACGGGATGAAGGGGCGGGGCTGGCTGCGGGGCCGCGCATGCTGCCATGAAGGCCCTGAACGCCCGCGTCGCTTTCACACGTCAGCCTCGAAGCGAGCACTCGCTCGCCATTGCCACAACGTGTCCCTGGTGCCAGGTATAGTTCGCAAGTAAGGCTTCGTGCTTGAGACATGCCTGGACGATGAAGGCCAAGACGCCACGGAAGTGTCCATCTAGAACCGTGTCCTCTGGCTTTCGGCCCGAGCCTGATCCCCCACACGCGCGCGGGCACTGCTGCGTCGCGCATGGAGGCCTACGCGCGCACTTGCAGCACGTTCAAGAGAGCACGTCCCAGGACCTGAGGGAGACGATGCACCCCGCCGGGTGGATGCTGACGGGGGCGGGGGCCCGCCAGAGGTCAGACACCATGGAGGCGGCAGGTGCCGCCGCGGCACCGCCAGCGCAACGAGCACGTCAAGGAGCTGAAGCGCGTGGACCCCGGCAACGCCGCGCGCCCGCTGGACGCGGACTGCCAGCAGACAGCGACGGGGTGGCGACGCTGCAGAGGGCGACGCTCAACATCGTGCAGGTGGCTTGGCGCGTTGCGGGGGCAATCTGGGGCTTCTACCCGATGCCAGAGGCGGCCGCGACGGAGCAGGGGGCCAACTTGGGGACGGCGCGCGCGGAGAAGACGGTCATGGCGGGCGAGAGCGGCTTGTGCAGCCCGCGCATTCATATCGGGGTCGCCTTCTTAAGGGGCCTGGCGCAATCGGAGTTGCCGAACCCATCCAGCGAGATCCCCGCCATGTTCGATATTTTGGTGAACAGCATGTCGCGCCTGCACGCCGGAGACCCGATCCCACAATTCCGCATCAAGGCGGCGCGCGCGGAGAAGGGGCAGGAGAAGAAGTACAAGGTGCAGACCATGCACAACGCAGTCGTAGCCAAGCCGTTCCAGGACGAGGGTCTGACCAAGGCCGTCAATGAAGCCAGGGCTCAGAGCGCGGACGGAGCGCTGGAAGCCATCAAGCCGCCGCCGACCACCGTTCAGCAGTTCCGCCGGGCCGTAAAAGGGGCAATGGTTCATCTGAAGGCCAACCCGATCCAGGGGTCCGCGCCGCCGACAGCACTGGGGAGGGCCATCCAGAGCCATCTACGCGACCGCCAGATATGATATACGCAGCAGTCAATGTAGTTTGGTTGCGCAGGCAGGCCGACAAAAGCAGTGTTCGGGCTCGCGAGCTGCTACAAAAGATGGGATACCGCAGGTAGAACGCATATCCTGGGTGTGCCACTGGGGCTGCCCAGGATCGTCGTCGCCAGATGTTGGATCGCGAACCTGGCTGCGCCAACAGGGCAACCCAGGTTCAAGTCGCCACGGCGTCAGAACGCAAATTCTGGGTGTGCCATCAGGGCTGCCCAGGTTGAGCGTCGCCACAGGCGTCAGTTCGCGGGACGCACGGGGTCACTCACAAGGAGTGTGCTTCCTGGGGTCGCCCCAGTCTCCGCCCCCCCCCCCCCCCCATGCCAAGCTAGCGCACATCAGGTTTCATATTTTATGCAGCGTGCACTACCTACGGCGGCGCCGACATCAAGGCATGGACGTCTCTTGTGCTGATAGAGTGTTGCGTCGTGCCCATCGATTGCCCCAGCAATTCCTGCCCCCGTTTTCCCTCGACACCCACGCCGAGGATCTCTCTGTTTGCTCGTGTGATTGTGGGAACGGTTTGCGCGTCACACGTACGCAACATAACATGTCTCAATCGCGTGGGCCAGCATGCGCAATGGGGCACGCGATGCGCATTGGAGTCGAGCGTGCGTTCTCCATGCCCTAGCGTCCACTAGCATGTAGTTCAAGTCGTACTGCAGGCGTGGGAGGGTTGAGCCCAGCTTTTCGCCTTCTCTTTTTTGTTGCGCACATTCGAAAGTTCGAGACGGCCTGTGGCCGATGAGGGGCCCAAGGTTCAACATGCCCCAGCGGGTTGCCTCAGGCGCCCTTCCGACCCGCCTTGGACTGGACCAGCAGCAACGGAAGCACGCTGACAGGCGCCCATTCCCCAGGCTCGAGCCTTTCGTAAGCGTCCATGCCGAACCGCTGCCGAGTTGGCTCGCTCGGTCGCTCCTCCCCTTCGTCCTCCTCCTCCTCCTCGTCCTCCTCGTCCTTATCCTCTTCCTCCACTTCTCTCCTCCTCCTCCTCCTCCTCCTCCTCCTCCTCCTCCTCCTCCTCTTCCTCCTCCTCTTCCTCCTCCTCCTCCACCACCTCCCCCCTCCTCCTCCCCCCCCCCTCCCTCTTCCTCCATCTCCTCTCTGTCGCCGCCATCCTCCTCCCACCGTCCTCCCCGCCCTCCCCGTCCTCCCCCCCCCGTCCTTTCAAGCGCGCTTGGCTTTCCGAGACTAAATGGGCAAACGGTGGGGATATGTATTTCACGAGCAACCGCACCCTACCCACAAGGAAAAACGACAAAAAGCCGGGGCAAGTAGAACATCAGGTCTTCAAAAAGGGGCACCACTTAAACGACATAACAGCCAAATGAGGCGAGGCAGCCGTCGAGCTCAAATGTAAGAGGGTGGCATGGTGCGAGGGGGGCGACATGCAGTACCAGGGCGAGGGCATGGACGTGAAGAGCGGCGCGCAAGAGTACATGAACGAATGGATTACCAAGGTAGGTGGCGGAAGAAAAAGTGTGGAGCCGGGCAACACGGGCCCGCAGTAAAGTACAGGGTGGGGACATTGTCATGATAGTGTCTACAGCTGTGGTGGAGGCAGGGGCGCATATTCAAACGTTGCTGGCGATTTCCCGGCAGCAGCTTCTCGCGGCAGCGAGGTTGCAGTCACCAACACAGAGGGCGACGTCTATTGCAGCATTGACGAGGGCGGTGAATTCATATGGAGTGTTTCTTCATCTGAATGTGAGGGGACTTATGTCATACAGCCGAGTTGAAGAGTACATGCATGAGCTTGCTTCGATCGGGAAGTTGGGATTTCATTTGCCTCGACGAAGCATGGCGCGCTGATCAACGAGAGCACTTTGCATGCGATGGCGGGCACGTCTTTGCAGGTTGCGGGGGGAGGGAAGGAGCCAGAGGAGTAGCCTTTTTGATTGGCAAGAAATGAACCAAAGATGTTGTCAATCTCGGTCGTATTTCAGAGCGCCTGGGGAACATCGATGTACAGCTCAAGAGCGAGAATTTCCGCATCGCGGCAGCGTGTTTTCCGCATTGCGGCTATCCTTACTGCCGCGTACAGCCGTTATACGATGAAATATCCGAGCTACACCGGAAAGCCAAACATAGTGGTCTTCGTTTTATCTCCGCTGGCGACTTGAATGCCTAGGTGGGTTGGCGCGAGGGCGGCGACGTACTGAAATGCATTGGCCCTTACGGGACGCACGATCAGCGGAAAGGCTTAGCATCGCGAGCATTTTCTTTTCGAAGAGGGACGTGCACATAATTACTCATTGCGGGGCAAAAGGTAACAAGCGCCCAATAGAGTATATTTTGGTTGATTTCAAATTGTTGTGAACATGGTATTGTGAACATGGTTTCCCGCCGCAACGCAATGGTTCTCAAATTGCGGCTTGCCTATTCGTCCGAGCCTAAAGCAAAGAAGAACAAGCGTACGCAGAAAGTATCGTAGAAACGTGTTGCTACAGCCCGGTATACTGATGAGGCTCAGGCGATGGTCAAAACGTGAAGACCACAGGGAACCCGGATGGGGACTGCAAGCTTATTCCGAAGTTATTGGTGGATTCTGCTGCCTGGGCATACGTGGATCATGGTGCACGTACTCAACCGTCGGAAGACGAGGTGGAATTGCAGCGCTTCCTTACGCAACGGAAGGGGTTACAAAACACGGCAGGGCCAGAGAGGACATAATTGAGTAAGAGCATTGGCAAACAAGTACGGGATATCAGGAGAAGCCAGGCGACAAAGCGAATACAAGCGGTCTTCACGGCATTCAAGGACACCAAGAGCATATCAAAGTCCAAAAGCATCAAGCAGAAGCAGCTTATCACGCAGATGACGAACAGCGTGGGGAACACGCATACATATAGGCAAAATATTGCAAATGAATTTGCGGATTGTAATGGCAACTTGTACAGTGCAAGCATGGCGCAACAGACATAGACATGCAGCTCCAATGCGGTCTTCGGCATGATTGGGCCCTTTCTACAACGGAAGAGTTACGGGAACAGCTGAAGATCCTTAAGCATTAAGAATGGGAAGTGTTGCGATGGAACTGATGCGTGCGCATACGAGTCTCTCCTTTCGGACCTCTGCAACAACATAATTTGTCCGAGCTCACTCACTCCCGCCTGAATCGTGGAAGAAGTCAGCTGTATCAGTATTGCACAAAGCTTGGGGCACTGCTGATGTGAACAATCACCGCCTCATCACCATCACCCCAATATTACAAAAGTTTCCCCCACAACTACTTTACAGCAGGTTGTATCCTATGTTGGACAAGCATCAGAACAAGGACCAGGCCGGATTTAGAAAGGGACTCAGCATTGCACATCACATGATCGCGGTGTCCATGTTCCAAGAGAAGCGCCGCGAGTGGCAGCGCAGCTTGTGGTTTGCCGCGCTTGACTTCAAAAAGGCGTTCGGTCGCGTTCAACCTTCTTGTCTTAGGCGTGCTCTGGCTAGACAAGAAGTTAGTTCATTATGGGTAGATTGCTTTACTTTAGAAGCTAGCATTACACAGGGCAAACAGGCCGAGCACGCACGGATCATTTGAGCGCTCTTTTGTCCAACCTGTCTTATCGAAGTGGTAGTGGTCTGAAACTGAGTTTAACCGCGGACACTCAACTGACCAATTGCGTTTCGCGGGCGACGTCCTCATCGTTGCCAGTACTATCAGGCAGACCAAGGCCATGTTGAAATATATCGCAGGTGCCGCAGCTAATTTTGGTCTGGAACTGCATCCCGGCAAGACGAAAATCTTGAGCAACGCTACCCGGGGGCACTGGCAGACCGACGGACCCGAAGGTGAATATTGACGGCATGGTGGTCGATGTTGTATTGTGCAACGGCAGCGTCAAACATTTGGGTCGGATGGTGGGCTTGGATCCCCCGCGCGACGTTGAAATCAACAATCGTATTCACAATGCGTGGGGATGTTCATGGATACCGTGCAGCGCTAACTCGCCGGCAGCATTCCACAAATTCACGCTTCTGGTTTTTTTTTTATCCGACATTGATCACCACGGTCTTGTACGGTGCTGCCACATGGGTGCTCACGCGCGAGCTTGAGGAACACAGAGGCGAATGGTACGGATGATCGTCCACATATCGAGACGCAGAGCGCGGGGACCAACCAGTTCCAAGTCGACATCTTCTTCATCCAACTCTTGTTATTCATCGGGCTCCTCTCCTTCTTAAGTGGACACCTTGGAAACATGGGAAGATGTTATTGTTCGTGCGACGCATTGTGCGGAACAGAAGCTTTCTTATTTGGGATTGCGGGATAGGGTGGTTGAGCATCGCAAAGCCGCCGTACCATGGTCAAAACGCATGGGCACAGAAATCATATGTTGGGCACAAGTGGCGTGCAATTGGGAACCGTTTGATTCTACTAGAAGGCCAGAAAGTCCGCGCAAAAGATGGGCGGATTGTGTAAAAGGCTTACCAGGACAACGAGGATTGAGTTTTCGGCCAGCCGGTGCCGAGGCGCCATCGTGGCGTGTGTGTGTGTGTATGTGTGTGTGTGTGTTTGCGTGTCTGTGTGTGCCCGTCTCATTAATCTCCTGCCTTGCTTCCCCTCTCTCCCGCCGTTCCCTCCCCGTCCCTCCATCCCCTGGCATTGCTCGGGGATGTGGCTGTTGGCCCTGCGGAGGCAAACAATGCGCGCTAAACTGAATTTAGTCCGGCGGTGGACCCAACCATAAGCAGGTGCGGGTGCCGCATTTGTAGGTATCGTCTTCGGTGAAGCTTCTCATGAGGCCACGAAGCGTGTGATAGATGTGCCCAAATGGGGCTGGAACCGCATGCGAACCGTGCCACTGGGGCCTTCGGTGGAGCTCTCTCTGGGGCCACGAGGCGTGTGAGGGGTGCGCCGAAATCGGGGTGGAACCGCATGCGGACCTGTCATTGAAGCCTTCGGTGGCGCTTCCCATGTGGCCAGGAAGCGTGTGAGGGGTGTGCCGAAATGGGGGTGGAACCGCATGCGAACCCTGCCACTGGGGCCTTCGGAGAGTTTCAGAAGTATGGGGCCACGAGACGTGTGAGGGGTGCGCCGAAATAGGGGTGGAACCGCATACGAACCTTGCCACTTAGGCCTTCTGTGGAGCTCCCTATGGGGCCACGAAGCGTGCGAGCTCATCTTCCTGAGTACGCCCGCGATGAAACGCTACACGCGCCGTGTTCAGAACCTCCACGCTATCACGTTGCATTTTGGCTCGGTACGTATTGGTCCAGGTGTTTTGTGAATACACCGTGCCAGACCGCACTCTACGTGTTGGGTTCCGTGTCAATGCGCTGCGTTTTGCGAGTTGCGTATCGGGGCAGTTAAGAGTTAAGAGTTTGAGGGATGTGCGGACATCGGGGTTGAACCGCATGCAAGCTTTACCAGTGGGGCCCTTGGTGGAGCTCCAATGGGGCCACGAAGCTTATGAGGGGTGTGCCGACATGGAGGTGAAACCGTTTTCGAACCCTTCCACTGGGGCCTTCGGTGGAGCTCTTCATGGGGTCACGAAGCGTGTGAGGGGGTGCTGAAATCAGGGGTGGAGCCGCATGCGAGCCCTGCCACTGGGGCCTTCGCTTGAGCTCCTTATGTGGCCACGAAGATCCCCTAGGGGCCACGGAACGTGTGGGGGGTTTGCCGACATTGGGGGTGGCACCGCATGCGAACCCTGCCAGTGGGGCCATCGGTAGACTTCCCTATGTGGCCACGAAGCGTGTCAAAGGTGTGTATACACTGGTACACTGGGGATTGAACCGCATGCGAACCCAGCAGAAGCGGGAGGGGGGGAGGAGGAGAGGAGAGAAACGCGGGGCGTTGTCTCTTCAAAACAAGGACCCAACACCACAGGATGGTTGGGAGAATGCACGGGGAGTGGACGTCCGAGCGAAGGCAAGATCTCCATCCTCCCCCCTCAGCCAACCACCGCTGCGCTGTCGCCAGGACCGTGCCCTGCTGGGAGCCCGCAGCAGGCCCCCAGGGTGCCCGCGCCGCTCGGCGTTCCACACCGCCTGTTGCGCCTCCCCCCGAGGTCACGCAGGCGGCGCTGAAGGCCAGCCAGGCGCGGGGGGAACGAGGGAGAGGAGGAGGAGGAGGAGGAGGAGGAGGAGGAGGAGGAGGAGGAGGAGGAGGAGGAGGAGGAGGAGGACGAGGAGGACGAGGAGGAGGAGGAGGAGGAGGCCGAGGAGGAGGAGGTGGAGTTTCGAGATTGCCCGAGGAAGAGAAGTCCCTTCTCTGGGGTGTTGTTGCCTCGGCATGCTCCCCAGCAGCTGCAACTCGCCGGTAGCGCTCAGGGAGGGCCCGAATTGTCCCGCACGGCCGCCTGTAGGTCCAGATGTAAGGCCTCAAAATTGAGGAGCAGGACAGTGAGGGACATTGAGGACCATCGTCGGCAGCCTTTGGAAGTGGAGTTGGGGGGAGAGGCTAAGAAGGAAGAGGAGGACGGGTGAGGGCAGGAGGAGCAGCATCACATCTCGTGCCCCCATTAGGGAACTCCACCGCCGACCGAAGGCCCCCGTGGCTGCGTCAACATGCTGCCCCGCCCCATCTCGACAGACCCCTCACACGCTCCGTGGCCCCATAGGGAAATCCACCTTAAGGCCCCAGCGGCAGGGTTCGCATGCGGTTCTAAACCTAATGCCGGCACACCCCTCACATGTTTCGTGGCCCCACAGGAAGACCCCTCGCACGTTCGGTGGCCCCACAGGGAGCTCCAGCGAAGACCCCAGTGGCTGCGCCCGCAAGCGGACCCGACCCATTCCGGCAGACCCTCACACGTTTCGTGACCCCATAGGGAGTTCAGCCGAAGGCTTCAATGGCTGCGTCTGCATGAGGCCCCGCCCCACTTCGGCAAACACCTCACACGTTTCGTGACCCCAGGAGGAGCTCCACCGAAAGCCCCAGTGCCTGCGTCCGCATGCGGCCCCGCCCCATTTCTGCAGACACTTCTCACTAGGGAGCTCCACCGAAGACCCCAGTGGCTGTGTCCGCATCGGACCCCGCCCGATTTCGGCAGACCGCTCCCACGCGTCGTTGCCCCATAGGGAGTTCCAACCATGGCCCCAGTGGCTGCGTCCGCATGTGGCACTGACCCATTCCAGCAGACTCCTCACTCTAGGTAGCTTCGGCGAAGGCCCCAGTGGTTGCGTCCGCAAGCGTGTGGTGGCCCTGTGTATAGCTGCCACCCGCTTACAAATGGTTGGGTTTTTCGCCAGGCTCATTTCGAGCCGCCAGCGGGTGTCCGAGCGGGGGGGGAGGAGAGGAATACGTGTAAGGGGAGGGGAGGGGACGGAAGTAGACAGGGAAGAAGGATGGGAAGGAAGGATGATGTGAGGGGAGGAGGAGGGGATGGAGTGAGACTTGCGGGCGGGGCGGAGGAGGGGAGGAGGGAGAAGGAATACATGAAGGCACGACAATGTACAAGAGGGGGGAGGGTGTAGAGGGGATCAGATGGGAGAGCGATGTGTGGAGAAGGAGCGATGTGTGGGAGAAGGATGGGGACGATACGTCGGAGGAGACGCAGGCCGAGGCGGAGAAGGAGGACGACGGGGAGGATGGGAAGGAAGGGGATAATGTTTGCGACGCCATGGAGCGGTGCGTTCCTTGAACCATTTGAAGCAGTGTGCGCACTCGTACATCATCCTGCTCTGATATCGAGGCGTCCGCCCGCGTATTCGGACAATGCGTGATTTCTCTGATATTTCGTCGTTGCTGGTCTTTTGTTGACGCACTGCCAAGGTCTGCGCTAGAACCGCACGCTTAGTTTCTCGTTTCAGCTAGCAGGGGATGTGGCGACTGAACAAAAGTCGCTCAGGGTTCTTTGATGTGCGGTTTTCGCATCGTTTAGTTTGAGTCGCATGTATTTTGCGAGTCTCGCACGTCCGTTGTAAACTCTTCCCTGGTGGGTGCTCGGTTTCCGTGCCAGTCCCCATCGTGGCAATCCGATGAGGGGTGTGCTTGCGCACCAAATGGCAACCAGCATGCCACACACCAATAGACCCAGTCGGGATGATGACCGCTATTTCTCCCCGCGGTGTCTGGGAGGCTCTGAAGAACAGGCCAGTGATGTGACGAATGCGGGTCACTAAGACTGCTTGTCTGCAGTGAGTTTGTGTGAAAGAAAGCGTTTAACAGACCAGGACTTCACCAGGTCCCGCCGCAGAAAACGCAGCTCTAGAGTGGAGAATGATTTGGGGCGTTCCAAAAAGGGCTCGCCTTCGAGGGCCGAAGGAGATGCCATCTCGTCCCCGGCGGAAGGCAGCGGAAGGGCTGCGAAAGTAAAACGAGGCCGCCTCCGCTGGCGGAAGCCGGCGGAAGGCAGGCGGAAGGCTGGCGGAAGGCTGGCGGAAGACGGCGGAAGTAAAAGGTGTTCCCCCAAGCGATGAAAACGTTCTTGGGTTCGGGGTTTCCGAAATCCGCCATGTGGCCCGCGGCTGCATGTTTCTCGGGCTCGCCAACGTCCTGGTGCATCACAACATCACCCTCTACGGGGCCCGACGGGGTCGGGCGGTGGGTGGGCGATGCGCGAGAAAGAGGCCCCCGCCCGGAGTTGGTGGGAAAGGGGTCCAGGCCTCGGATGGCCCAAGCGGTGAACAACCAGCAGCGCTTCCTGCCGCTGCTTTCCTTCTGCCCCAAACCCCAGACGGCATTTTTATATTTTGACCTCGGCCCTCAGAGGGCTCGAGCCATGGCCTCTGGACCGGCGTTTCATGCTGAGATTGTTCTTCCCAACCGACTTGTGGTGTTGGGTCCTCGTTTTGAAGAGACGGTCCCCGCGTTCCCTTCCTCCTTCCTTCCTCCTCGCCCCCCCCCCTCCACCGCCCGCATGCGTCAGCCATCACCCAGCACAGCGTTTCGTGGCCCCATCAGGGGGCTCCAGCGAAGGCCCCCAGTGGGACCGCTCGCATGCGTCGGCCACCACCCAGGACAGCGTTTCGTGGCCCCAATAAAGGGAGCTCCACCGAAGGCCCCAGTGGCACCACCCGCATGGCATGCGCCAGCAATCATCCAGTACAGCGCTTCGTGGCCCCATTAGGGGGCTCTACCGAAGGCCCCAGTGGCACCGCCCGCATGCGTCAGCGGCCACCCAGCACAGCGCTTCGTGGCCCCATAGGGAGCTCCAGCGAAGGCCCCAGTGGCACCGCCCGCATGCGTCAGCCACCACCCAGTATAGCGGTTCGAGGCCCCATAGGAAACTCCGCCGACGGTGCCAGTGGCACCGCCGTGTGTCAGCCACAACCCAGTACCGCGCTACGTGGTCCCATAAGGGGGCTCCACCGAAGGCCCCAGTTGCACCGCCGGCATACGTCAGCCACCACCCATCACAGCGTTTCGTCGCCCCATAAAAAAGGCTCCACCGAAGGCCCCAGCGGCACCACCCGCATGGCATGCGCCAGCCATCACCCAGTACAGCGTTTCGTGGTCCCATGTAGGGACTCCACCGAAGGTCCCAGTGGCACCGCCCGCATGCGTCAGCCACCACGCAGTACAGCGACTCGTGGTCCCGTAGGGGGCTCTACCGAAGGTCCCAGTGGCACCGCCCGCATGCGTCAGTCACCACCCAGGACAGCGCTTCGTGGCCCCATAAGGGGGCTACACCGAAGGCCCCAGTGGCACCGCCCGCACGCGTCAGACACCACCCAGGACATCGCTTCGTGGGCCCATAAGGGGGCTCCACCGAAGGCTACAGTGACACCACCCGCATGCGTCAGCCATCACCCAGCACAGCGTTTCGTGGCCCCATAGGGAGCTCCACCGAAGGCCCCAGTGGCACCGTCCGCATGCGTCAGCCACCACCCAGTTCAGCGGTTCGCAGCCACATAGGAAACTCCACCGACGGTGCCAGTGGCACAGCCGTGTGTCAGCCACAACCCAGTACCGCGTTACGTGGTCCCATAAAGGGGCTCCACCGAAGGTCCCAGTGGCACCTGCGTCAGCCACCACCCAGGACAGCGCTTCGTGGCCCCATAAAGGGAGCTCCAGCGAAGGCCCCAGTGGCACCACCCGCATGGCATGCGTCAGCCATCATCCAGTACAGCGTTTCGTGGTCCCATATGGAGCTGCGTAAAATGACCCCAGTGGCACCGCCCGCATGCGTCGTCCACCACCCAGTATTGCACTTCGCGGCCCCAGTGATTTGGAGTTCCACCAAGCCCCAGTGGCACCGCCCGCATGCGTCCACCCAACCCGGTAGAACGCTTCGTGGCACCATAGGGAGCTCCAGCGGTCCGCCCGCATGCGACCCCCCACCCAGTACAGCGCTCCGCGGGCCCATAGGGATCTCCAACGAGAGGCCCCAGTGGCACCGCCCGCATACGCCCCCCCCTCCCAGTACAGCGTTTCGTGTCCCCATAGGGAGCTCCACCGAAGCCCCCACTGGCACCGCCCGCATGCGGCGGCCACCACCCAGTACAGCGCTTCGTGGCCCCGCAGGGAGCTCACCCCAGTGGCACCGCCCGCATGCGTCTCCCCCAACCAGTACAGCGTCTCGTGGCCTTATCGTGAGCTCCAGCGAGGGGCACCGCCCGCACGCGCCCGCCGGACCCAGTACAGCGTGTCGTGGCCCATAGGGAGCTCCACCGAAGGCCCCAGTGGCACCACCCGCATGCGTCAGCCACCACCCATTACGGCACGTCCCTCACGCGTTTCGTGGCTCCACCGAAAGCGGCACCCACAAAGCGTTACTCAGAACTGCACATGGTTGGGCCCTTCGCCAGGATAATGTTACCTGTCCCGAGGACAAGCAAGGGCCCCCGGAGGCCCGCCGTGATTCTTCATTGCTCTTGGGCGTCTTGGACGGCCGGGGGGGCGACGGGAGGAGTCCCTGGACAGCTCCCGGGAGCTCGTGCAGATGCGCGCGGACCTGGAGGCGATGCGGGCGGAGGGCGCGGCGAGGCGCGGTGCGCTGGAGGCCACCGGAGCCGCCGTCGGGGCGTCGTGGCGCCGGGTGGCGTCGGGGCGTCGTCTCGCAAGAGAAAGATGTGCGACCGCTATCGAACCATTTACCCCATGCGGTTCCAATTGGCGCTGGGGTATCGGAGGCTCCCGCAGGGATTCGCTCGGCTGCAGGTGTTCTCAAGTTCTGGAATCCAGCGGGTTCTTCTGAAATCTGATTTGCAGAGGTAGACTCCAACATGTGGCTGCCTAGAAACAGCTTCATAGAGATACACTGCATCGGCACTGGACTCCCTTAGTGGCGCCTCCAGCGCCGCCCGCCAGTGAGGGGGGTCCAGCGCTGATCCAAGAAATCAACGCAGACTTTTGAGGGTTCCGAATTCTGTGGTTACCAACCACCCTGTGTGTTGGGTTCTCGTTTTGAAACTGCGCAGTGCCGTGCGTCCTCACCTCACCTCGCTCCCGCTCCTCCTCCCTCCTAGACCTCCTCCCTCCTCCTCCTCCTCCTCCTCCTCCTCCTCCTCCTCCTCCTCCTCCTTCTCCTCATCCACCTCCTCCTCCTCCTCCTCCTCCTCCTGCTCCTTCTCCTCCTCCTCCTCATCATCCCTCCTCCCTCCTCCCTCCTCTCTCTTCCCTCCTCCCTCTTCCTCATCTTCTTTGTTTTTCCCGACCATCCTGTGGTGTTGGGCCCTCGTTTTGAAGAGACGGTCCCCGCGTTCTCCTCCTCCTCTCCCTCCTCCTCCCCCTCCTTGCCTCTGCCCTCCGCATGTCTCGCTGTTTAGGCACACCCCTCACACGTTTCGTTGCCCCATCAGAGGCTCCCACTACGGTCCCAGTGGCGGAGCTCTCATGGCATCCCCGCCCCATGTTGGTACGCCCCTCACACGCTTCGTGGCCCCATAGGGAGCTCCACTTAAGGTCCCAGTGGGGCAGCTCGCATGGCATCCCTGCCCCATTTTGGTACACCCCTCACACGCTTCGTGGCCCCATAGGGAGCTCCACTTATGGTCCCAATGGCGGAGCTCGCATGGCATCCCTGCCCCATTTTGGTACACCTCTCATACGCTTCGTGGCCCCATAGGGAGCTCCACCTACGGTCCCAGTGGCGGAACTCGCACGGCATCCCCGCCCTATTCTGGTACACCCCCCACACGTTTCGTGGCCCCAAAGGGAGCTCCACCAAAGGTCCCAGTGGGGAAGTTCGCATGGCATCTCCGCCCCATTGTGGCACACCGTTCGCACGTTTCGTTGCCTTCTGGGGAGCTTCACCTAAGGTCCTAGTGGTGGATGTTGTATGGCATCCCCGCCAAATTTTGGCACGCCCCTCACGCGTTTCGTGGCCCCATATGGAGTTTCACCTAAGGTTCCAGTGGCGGGGCTCGCGGGACGGCGCCGCCCCATTTTGGCACACCTCTCACACTTTTCGTGTCCCCATAGGGAGGTCCACCGAAGGCGCCAGTGGCGGACCTCGCAGAACGGCGCCGCCCCATTTTGGCACACCCCTCACACGTTTCGTGGCCCTATAGGGAGGTCCACCGAAGGCCCCAGTAGCAGGGTTCGCATGGCGGCCCTGCCACATTTGTTCACACCCCTCACACGGTTCGTGCTCTCATAGGGAGCCCCACCGAAGGCCCCACTGGCAGGGTTCGCATGGCGGCCCCGACCGATTTTGGCGCTCTCCTCACACGCTTCGTGGCCCCATCGGGAGCTCCACCTGAGGTCCCAGTGGCGGAACTCGCATGGCGTTGCCGCCTCCTTCAAAAGGAGCTCCACCTGAGGTCCCAGTTGCGGAACTCGCATGGCGGCGCCGCCCCATGTTGGCACGCCCGAGAGGCGACGGCCCTCGCCAGGGAGCTGGGCTTCACCGGGTTTCTCCGCGAGGCATGACCTGAGGAGCGGCCCGCCCGAGACTCGCGTCTCTCGACGGTCTGACTTTTTGACCTGGCGCCGCGGGCTTCCCGCGCGCGTCGCTGAGACCCTCTCGGGGCGACCAGCGCGCGTCGTGGGAACTCCATGCTGCGCTCTGCCCAGCGCCTCGCTCGCCCCCGTCGTCGTTCTGCCCAGCGGCCAGAGCCTTGCCCGCTGTCGGCCAGCCAGCTAGCTCTTTCTGCCCCGCGCAGCGGACGACCCGCGCGCGTCGCCAGGACCCCTTCGGGGCGACTGGCGCGGGTCGCGGGGACTCCGCGCGGCGCCGCGCCCGTAGCCTTGGACACTGGCGTGCGCGGGCGCGGCGCCGCACGGAAAGAACGGAAGGAAGCGGGCGTGATCCTCGTGGGGGGCGGGCCGACATGGGCGTAGACACTTTCGCGCGCTGACTCGCGCGCGCGAAGACTCATTCACAATCAGATTCGCTCGCGCTCATACTCGCCCTCTCTCAGTCTCTCTCACGCAGACCTATCGTCTTCGTTCGCATCGTGTGCCCCGCCGCGGGTGTCGGCGCGACCATCGCGCGGTTCGTGGCCCCATACGTAGCGCGGGCGAAGATGGTATCCACGATTGCGGTATTTACAACTGCATATGGTCGGGTCCTTCGCCGCGCTAATTTCTCCCACGTTCGTTTCTGCTTTTCAGGGAGCTCCATCTGGGGCCCCAGTGGGTGCGTCCGCATGGCGTCCCCGCGTTCATTTCAGCACGCCACTCGCATTTTCTCTGCCATTCAGGGAACTCAGCCCATGGCCCCAGTGGGTGCGTCCGCATGGCGTCCTCGCGCCTCTTCTGGCTCACCCCTCACACGTTTCCAGCCCCCCAGGTAGCTCCACCGATGGCCCCAGCGGGTGCGTCCGCATGGCGCTTCCGCGCTTATTTCGGCACACCACTCACACGTTTCTGGCTTTCTGCGAGCTCGCCCGAGGGCCCCAGCGGGTGCGTCCGCATGGCGTTGCCGCGCTTATTTCGGCACACCACTCACACGTTTCTGGCTTTTTGTGAGCTCGACCGAGGACCCCAGCGGGTGCGTCCGAATGGCGTCCCCATTCTCATGTCGGCACACCTCTCACGTGTTTCATGCCCCGAGGTGAGCTCCACCTGGGGCCCCAGTGGGTGCGTCCGCGTGGCGTCCCCGCCCACCTGTCACACGCTCCCTACCTCCCAGGGAGCTCCACCCATGGCCCCAGTGGGTGCGTCTGCATGGCGTCCCGTGCCCATTTCGGCACATCCGTTACGTCTTCTGCCTCCCAGGGAGTTCCACACATGGCCCCAGTGGGTGGTCCGCATATTGTGCCCGCGACCATCTCGGCACAGCCCTCACATGTTTCGGGCCATTCATAGAGCTGCACCGAAGGCCTCAGCGGGTGCGTCCGCATGGCGCCGCGGCGCCTTTTTCGGCACACGCCCCAAACTTCTCCGACCTCCCTTGGAGCTCCACCGCGGGCCGCAGCAGGTGTGGCCGCATGGCACCGCCGCGCCCATTTTGGCACACCTTTCCTTCCCAGGGGGCTCCACCGAGGGACGCGGTTGGTGCGTCCGCATGGCGTCGCCGTGCCAATTTCGTCACGCCCCTTTCACAGCTCCTGCCTCCCAGGGAGCTCCGCCGAAGGCCGCAGTGGGTGCATCCGCATGGCGCCGCGGCTTCTATTTCGGCACACACCTCACACGTTTTCTGCCCCCCCCAGGGAGCGCTCCACCTGTGTCCTCAGAGGTTGACTTCGCCTGGCGTCGTGAGAGTGCGTACGTGAATGCAGAACGTTAACCGTGGTTTGACATTTTTGCGACGCGTTCTTGGAAGCTGCAGGCCCCTCCAATTATTCGTGTGATTTGAGCGGTCCTGTTCATAGTCGCCTCTTATTTGGAGTGGATTGGGTTCTTCGCCAGACTATTTTTCGTCGTCGTCTTCGTCGTCGTCGTCGTCTTCGTCGTCGCCGTCGATATTCTCGTCTTCGTCGTCTCATCCCTCCGGGGGGTTCTCTGATGTGTTCCCGTCCGTTCTTATGAAGGGTTTTCTCGTTTCCCTGCTTGTGTTCCAGCAGCTGCGCCTCGCCGAGGACATTATGGGAGTACCTGAACCTTCCCGATCGTCGGCAGCATAGGCTCAGAGGGAGAGGAGAGGGAGAGGAGCAGAGAGTAAGCAGGGCCAAGGCACACAAACTCCCCCCCCTCCCTCAAGAAACAGCCCTCAACAGAGTTTTGGCCACTTCGGCGTCCGCGCGGGCGGGACGTCGACGAGACGACGATGGTTTTGTGGTGGTAGGTGGTGGTGATGGTGTGTTGGTGGTTTGTGTGGTTGTGGGCTTGGTGGTAGTGGTGTGGGTACGATTGTGTTGGTGTGTGGTGTTAGTGGTGGTGGTTTTTGTGGTTGGTGGTGGTGTGAATTGATTGTTGTGGTGGTTGTGGTGGTGGTGGTGGCTGTGGTGGTGGTGGTGGTTGTGTGGTGCTGTTTGTGGTGGTGGTGGTGGAGGGTTGAGGCGGCGGTGGTGGTGGTAGTAGTTGTGGTGGTGGTGGTAGTGTTGGTAAGTGTCGCTGCGTCCCCGCCGTCGCCGGCGCCAGCGCCGGCGCTGCTGGCCGCCGCCAGCGCCGGCGCCGGCGTGAGGGGGGGCGGGGGGGGTTTGAACCCCCGCCTCCTCCCCCCACTGGGCTGCCTCTGGTCATTGTCGTTGCGTCCCCGCCGTGGGCGCTGCTGGCGGCCGCCAGCGCAGGCGCCGGCGCCGAGGGGGGTGGGAGTTTTGAACCTCCCCCTCTCCCTTTGGAGAGGGGGGGGGGTTTGGGAGGGGGGGGGTTTGCGGTGTGGGGAGTCCCCCTGGTTTTGATCGACGGCGCCGAGGGTTTGGGGGGGCCCACCCCCCGGTTCGAAACGCGCCGCCGAATGTTCCCCAGGCAAGTGCCCGTGAAACGCGTTCTCTCAGACCTCTAGAGGTCCACCGTCTGAAGAGGGAGCAGGAGGAAGAGGAGGAGGAATACAGGAAGTCATGAAAGCCACCCAAAGTAGTGGAACACCACGTGAATGTCGCAACAGAGAGAGAGAGAGAACAACACAAACAAACTAGGAGAAACAACGACGGCAAGGATACAAGCTCAACTCGCATCAGGGCATGCCTCAGCTGAGCCTCTGAGCTTTGGCTGGCCAAGGGCCAGACTGGTCAGGAGGGTGCCGACACGGGAAACTCAAAACAACACGTCGATCGGAATCGCACATGGGGCCAGTGTATTTCAGGAGACAGCTGTTGTGCCGGAGTCACGCCCAATAAACTTTTCAGCTATATTGTTGTTGTCGGAGAGCGAGGACTGCGTGGATAAAATCAGGTCAGGTCTCAGGAGATTCATGCATCAGCAGGAGGAGGAGCAGGAGCAGCAGCAGGAGGAGCAGGAGGACGAGGAGGAGGAGGAGGAGGAGGAGGAGGAGCGGGAGGAAGAGAAAAGGGGGGCGCGGGAGGGGCAGAAGGGGGAGCGTACGTTTGGGGGGGAGCAGAGGGTGGAGGACAGGGGGGCTTGGGCGTCGCGTTTGACCCCAGTAGCGAGGAGTCGTTGGATTTGCCTGATGGGTCCTCCTCTTCCTCCTCCTCCTCCTCTTCCCACTGCTGCTCCTGCTGTGAATCCGTATATGCGTGTGTGGACATTGCGATCGACCTGTTTCTAAGGCTGTGCGCAGCAGCAGCGGTCAGTTCACGACTGCGCAAATAGGATGGCAGGCCGACGTTCGCCGGGAGAAGAGACGCGGAGTGGGCGCGCATGCGTTTTTCAAGCGATTTCGGATCGATACCTTCCGAGGCCACTCCGACGCTGACGCTGTGACGGTTCGGGTGGATGTGTAGGAAGGGTGTCTTGCTCTTTGTGGAACACTAAGGCATGCCAATCTTTGCGGGGATGGGCTGGTACCACCTGGGTTTAATGGGACGAAGGGGAGGGGGAGGACGGCTTGGAAGGACGTGCATGGGAATGATGTGTATGTTGTGCGTTGTTTGCGCTTTTACCTAACAGCGAAGACTGATAGGTTTCTAGTGGTGTCAAAATAGAGCAGCAGATGACTCCACAGGGGGGTCTGGGCGGCATCCGGGGAGCTGTGTCCGAACTCGTGTCCGAATTCGTTTTTTCGCAAACAGTCACACACTTCGTGCTCTTCGACCTCTCAGAACTCCATTCCCGGGCCACATTCTGAATGCCTGGAGCCAACTGTAGGCCACTTCGTGCTCTTCGACTTCCCAGAACTCCATTCCCGGGCATGATATTGAATGCCAGGAGCCAACTGTAGGCCACTTCGTGCTCTTCGACTTCCCAGAACTCCATTCCCGGGCCACATTTTGAATGCCCGGAGCCAACTGCAGGCCACTTCGTGCTCTTCGAGTTCCCAGAACTCCATTCCTGGGCATGATTTTGAATGCCAGGAGCCAACTGTAGGCCACTTCGTGCTTTTCGAGTTCCCAGAACTCCATTCCTGGGCATGATTTTGAATGCCTGGAGCCAACTGTAGGCCACTTCGTGTTCTTCTAGTTCCCAGAATTCCACTCCTGGGCCACATTTTGAATGCTAAGGCAGGCTGATGCTGCGGCCGAGGCAGGCTGAGGCTGAGGCCGAGGCTGAAGGCAGACTGAGGCTGAGGCTGAAGCAGGCTGAGGCTGAGGCTGAGGCAGGCTGAGGCTGAGGCTGAGGCAGGCTGATGCTGAGGCAGGCTGAGGCTGAGGCTGAGGCTGATGCAGGCTGAGGCTGAGGCAGGCTGAGGCTGAGGCCGAGGCTGAAGGCAGACTGAGGCTCAGGCTGAAGCAGGCCGAGGCTGAGGCTGAGGCAGGCTGAGGCTGAGGCAGGCTGAGGCTGAGGCTGAGGCAGGCTGAGGCTGAGGCTGTGACTGCGACTGCCGTTGCTACTGCGACTGTCATCGCGAATGCGACTACGACTGCGAGAACAACAGGATTCTACAACTGGATTCTCATTTGAATCTTAAGGGGAATGCTTCCAGATATGCTCCTACACATCGCTGTTAGGTTGCTTTGCCGGGATAATTTCTTGATTGCGGCGAATTGCGTTGCCCCGCTTGTATCCAATTGGGCAATATTGATGTGTGGTTTACATGTAGTTTAGTGATGTGTGTTCTGATGCGGCTTGCGTCTATACACGATGAACTGAACCGCTGTCCGCACGTCACCGCGCTGCCGCACATCAGCCTCTGCAATTGTTGTCGCAAGCGCAACTATACAAACGAAACGCGTAATACTCCCAACGCCGGCGCGCATGCTGGCTCCCCGAACACATGTATCCATATAAGCAGGTCCTTCAGTTTCTGGCTATTACCGAAATGATTCGCGTCTGGAGTCCTACTATGAGGCTACTGAGGGGCATGCGCTGGTTTCTGATCCGTTTCATTCGGTCGCGATTTGTCCAGGTTGATCGGGATCCAGCCCGCTTGCCCCACGTCCTCTCTCTACGGGTCGAGTGTTCGCTCGGCTGCACGGACTGTGCGCCAGGGCGCGCCGCGTACAGAGTTTTTGGCCGTTGCGATCGAGAGAAATGGAGCGCTTCTTACCCAGAGGTTCCGTTGTTCCCCCAGAACATATCCTGTCTAAGGACCGAGCCCCCAACCACCTGCAGTTGTGAGTACCGCAGGGCCAGCGGGACGATCGAGGGAGAACTCCCCATGGCGTCGCGAATCGCGTGAGACGGGCGAACCGCGTCAAGGGTGTGCCAACGTGGGGCGGGTTCCGCATGCGGCTGTAGGGGGGACGGGAGACGCATGCGATGATGACCGCTGTGACCGTCGCTGGGGCTCCTTATGGGGTCACAAAGCGTGTGAGGCGCGTGCCGAAGTGGGCGGGGAGGCGCGCTCGAGGACGGCCGCAGGGACCTTCGGTGGAGCTCCCTTATTGGGCCACGATCCTTGTGCGGGGTGTGCCGTAATGGTTGGGTCGGACGCAATGCGGGCGGCGGCCCTTCGGACCTTCGGTAGAGACCCTTTATGGGCCACGATCCTCGTGAGCGGTGTGCCGACATGGATGGGTCAGACGCATGCGGGGGGCGTGGCCGGGACCTTCGGTGGAGTTCCCTGGGGGGCCACGTCCTTGTGAGGGGTGCGCCGAGATGGGTGGGTCGGACGCATGTGGGCTGCGCCTCTGGGGCCTTCTGTTGAGCTTCCTTGCTGGGCCACGATTCCCGTGAGGGTCGTACCGAAATCGATGGGTCGGATGCATGCGGGCGGCGCCCTTGAGACTTTGGGTGGTGCTCCCTTACTGGGCCACGATCCTTGTGAGGGGTGTACTGACATGAGCGGGTCTGACGCATGCGGGCGGCGCCCTTGGGACCTTCGGTAGAGCCCCCGTATGGGGCCGCGATCCTCGTGAGGGGTGTCTCGAAATTACTGGGTCGGACGCATTTGTGCCGCGCCCCTCGGACCCTCCGTGGAGCTTCGTTATTGGGCCACGATCCTCATGAAGGGTGTGCCAAAATCGGTGGGTCGGACGCATGCGCGCGGCGCCCCTGGGACCTTCGGTGGAGCCCCCCAGGGGGTTCAGATCTGTTTGAGGGGTGTGCCAACATGAGTGGGTCGGACGCATGCGGGCAGCACCTTCGGGGCCACGATCCCAGTGAGTGGTGTGCCGGAATGAGAGGTTCGGACGCATGCTGCCAGTCTCGCCGGGCCTCGGGACCGTCAGAGACGACGAATCGGGACGAACAACCGGACCTGGGGAAAGGGCCCAGTCATCGGGGGTTCACGCATTAACAGAAACATTGAGCATTCATATGGCTAGGTACCCGCAGGCACGCCCAATGCCAACGTTGCTCCTTCCTCTGATCGGCCTCCTCTGGACGCCGGCGCCAACGATGATGACGACGCTGCCGAATACGGCAGCGCCCCCGCGTGCGCGCGCAGGAGGCCCTGGCACGCCACGGCGCCCAGATCGAGGACCTCTCCTCCGGTCTGGCGCTGCTGAGCATGGGCGACAGCGCTGCGGGTGCGGGCCTTAACATTGGCCGAGCCTGGTCTTTGTCGTCGTCGGCGTTGTCGTCGTCTGGAGGAGGAATTCGGAACTCGGATGTCCTCGAAAGTCCGCCAGGGGCGGTTTTGCCGGGGGTGTGCTGGACGCGAAACCGCCTGCAGACCAAGAGAGCTCGAAGCTCGGGCATCAAAACAATGGCAAAGCCGTCTCCATGTATCGGCACGGAGTCGAAACGGTATCTGAGCAACCAGAGGCTCGGAGCGACATCAGGCAACCTCACATCCCTTCATCTCCTTCAACTCACTTCCTCATCCATCATCTGCCCTGCTCGCCAGCGGCACGGTGCTTGGGCGCGCCTGTGAAGAAACAATTGTAGACGTCGGGCGCCCAAACGCGCGCGGGACTGACTGACTTTCGTTTCCCACCCAATGCTCCATTGCCTCCACCACCTATTGCACGACAGAGCTGGTGCCTCAGATCAGACAGCAAGGACTGCGGCCGAGCTTGTCGCAGGTGGGGCCCGCGCCTGCACAGTCACGCAGAGGCCTGATATATATATATATATAATATATATATATATATATAATAAAATATATATAATATATATATATCTATATATATTACAACACAAATATATATATACATATAGATATATATATGTGGGTCCTGGCCTATTCCCCCCCCCCTGCTGGAATCGATGTTTCGTTTTGGAGGGATTTCGGTCCACCGCAAACGCTTCACGCACGAATTGGGGGGGGGAGTCGTTTCGTTTGTTCGGAGGTCCTTGGACACTCATCTCCTTGGCCAGGGCCCATATATGTATATACAGGCATACTCGTGCTCTCCATTCCCCTCCACACGTTCCCTCACCTCGCTCTCTCAGCCGTCCCGTGGGCGCCCGCTCCGCCAGGGCAGTGATGATGGTGGGAGTTCGTGTGGTGGTGGGTGGTGGGTGGGGGGGGAGGGGGGGGGGGGCGAAAAAAACAAAAACAAAAAAAAACATTTTTTTTTTTTTTCGCCCCCCCCCGCCACGAGTCGGCCATCACAAGCGGCGCTGGCCGCAAGGGAGCAGCAGCAGGCCTCCACGGTTCCAGGCCGCAGGGGAGTGCCCCCGAGCACTCTAGGGGGGAGCACTCCAGGGGGGAGCACTCCAGGGGGCTCGCGTGGCTCAACTGACTGAAACGCACACGCGCGCGCACACACTCACGCGCGATCGCATAGACGCCTGGTAGCATCACAAAAACGAGCATCATGCATTGTGTTTGCTGATCTGGTTCAAACGGTTGATAGAAACAAGTTTGCACCACCTGGGCGGCGCGACAGCTGATGGAACGACCCCGCCGCCCGCAACCTAAACGTTGAAAGAGGGCGCGCGCGCGCGCTGAAATGGGGCGCATCTTTATTCGTTCGAAGGGCCCCAGGAGATGTTACAACAATCAATATCAAAGTCAGGGGCGCGGGGGCACAGCAGTGCCATCCGATTCGCAGCTCGTCCCGAATTGGTGCAACCATTTTTCTTGCACGGTAGTAGTAGTGGTTGTGGTGGTCGTAGTAGTGATTATAACAGTTATGGACGTAGCCGTAGAAGTGGTGGAAGTAGTGGAAGTAGTAGAAGTAGTATTAATAGTAGTAGTAGTTGTTGTAGTCGTAGTAGTAGTAGTAGTAGTAGTAGTAGTAGTAGTAGTAGTAGTAGTAGTAGTAGTAGTAGTAGTAATAGTAGTTGTATTAGTAGTAGTAGTAGTAATGGAAGTAGTACGAGTAGTGAAACTAATACGACCTTGTCGAAATAGTAAATGTAGTAATAGTAATCGAAGGAAGTGTCGTCGCAGTGGTAATAATGGTACTAGTATTAGTCATAGAAATACAAAAATATATGTATTCGTAGTAGTAGCAGCATTAGTATCCATGGTAGCAGTAATGCTACTTGTGAGAGTAGCAGTAGTAGTAGTAGTAGTAGTAGTAAGGGTACTAGTAGTAGTAGAAGGAGTAGTTGTAGTAGTCGGAGCAGTTGTCGTAATAATAATAGAGGTAGTAGTGGTAGTAATGGTAGTAGTAGTCGTCGTCGTAGTAGTAGCAGTCGCAGAAGTGGTACTAGTAGTAGTAGTTGTAGTAATGCTAGTAGTACGAATGGTTTGTTTATTAATAATGCGATAAGACTAGTAGTAGCAGGAATCGTACTAACAGAAGTCGTAGTGGTAGTACTCATAGTCGTATCCGTAGTCGTCGTCGCAGCGGTTTCAGTCGTAGTGGTCGTAGTCGTGGTAGCAATTGTAGTAGGAGTGGTGAAAAATCAGAGTAGTAGTAGTAGTAGTAGTAGTAGAAGTAGAAGTGGTAATAATAGTATAGTAGTAGCAGCTGTAGTGGTGGTAGTAATGGAATTAGCGGTGGTGGCAAGAATTTTAGTAGCCACAGTCGTAGTCGGAGTCGCATAGGCAGTCGTAGCCGTTGTAATCGTAGTAGTCGTAGTAATTGTAGGAATAGCCGAAATAACACTAGCCGTCGTGACAGTAGTAGTAGTAGTAGTAAGAATAGAAGTAAGAGAAATAGTGGTGATAATGCAAATGATTGTCGTCGCAGCAGTCGTAGTATAGTCGATATACGAATCACTAGCTACGCCCCATCCTTCCCAGATCCTCCTCCCCCTTCGAAGTAATATCAATATTACTGAGAGTAATAGTGGTAGTAGTGGTGGTCGTAGTAGTAGTACGAATAATATAAAGTAGTAATGTTGGTAGTAGTACTACTATAAAACTAGTGGCATCAGTATGCGTAATCGTAGCCGTAGTAGTGGTAGAAGTCGCCGTAATAATCCTATCAGTAGTTGTTCTTGTTCGTTGGTTTCGGACATGTGTTAGCACTCAGACGATCAATCGTAATACGAGCCGTAATAATAGGGATACGAGTAACCGCGATAGTAGTAGTTCTAGTAGTAGTATGAGAAGTAGTAGTAGTAGTAGAAGTAGTAGTAGTAGTGGTACTAGTAGTAGTAGTAGTACTAGCAATAGCCGTAGTAGTATTCAGAATCTAAGTGATTATACGAGTGGTAGTACAGATACATACACGAATCGTCGTCGTCGTAGCAGCAGAAATAATAATAACAAGGGGCGCACGCAACAGTTAATTATGCAGCAGTAATCGCACTAGGATAGCATCAAAAGTAGCAGTAGCTGTAGTAGTAGTAGCCGTATTATTAGTAGCAGTCGTAGTAGCAGCAGTAGTAGTAGTAGTAGTAGTAGTAGTAGCAGTGGTAATAATAATGGTAATAAGAGATAGGTAGTCGTGGCCGTAGTAATAGTAGCAGTGCTAGAAGGTGTTAGTAGTAGTAATAGTAGTAGTAGTAGTCGTAGTAGTAGTAGAAGTAGTAGTAGTAGTAGTAGTAGTAGTGGTAGTAGTAGTCGTAGTAGTCGTGGTAGTAGTAGTAGTATTAGTCGTAGTAGTCGTAGTAGTAGTAGTAGCAGTGTGAGTAGAAGTAGTCGTAGTAGCGGCAGTGATAACAGCAGCCGTGGTAGCAGTAGTAGTAGTAGGAGAAGCAGTAGGCGTAGTGGTAGTTGTAGTAGTAAAAATAATAGTCGCAGTAATAGTCGCAGCGGAGCTGGCAGTAGCGATAACAGTACTAATCACAGTCTTAGTAGAAGTAGTGGCAGCAGTAGTCGCAGTAGTCGTCGTCGCAGCCGTAGCTGTAATCGTCGCGATCGCACTAGTAGTAGTAGTAGTAGCAGCAGCAGCAGCCGTAGCACTAGTCGTCGTAGTAGCAGTAGCAGTAGTAGTACTAGTAAGAATAGCAAAAGCGAGAGGACTTGTAGTAGTAGTAGTAGTAGTAGTAGTAGTAGTAGTAGTCGTAATACTAGTAGTATTAGTAGTCGTAGTAGTAGTAGTAGTAGTAGTAGCAACAAGAAGCTGTAGTAGTACACGCATCAGTAGTAGTAGTAGTAGTGGGAGTAGTCGTAGTAGTAGTAGTAGTAGTAGTAGTACTACTACTAGTAGTAGTAGTAGTAGTAGTAGTAGTAGTAAAAGTAGTAGTAGTAAAAGTAGTAGTAGTAGTAGTAGTAGTAGTAGTAGTAGTAGTGGTAGTAGTAGTAGTAGTCGCAGACGTAGTCGTAGCAATCGTAGCAGTGGTAATAGTAGCAGTCGTGGTAGTAGTAGTAGTAGTAGTCGTCGTCGTCGTCGTCGTCGTCGTCGTCGTCGTCGTCGTCGTCGTCGTCGTAGTAGTAGTAGTAGTAGTAGTAGTAGTAGTAGTAGTAGTAGACGTAGTGGTTGTGGTAATAGTACTCGCAGTAGTCGTCGCAGTAATAATAACAGGGGCGCTGGCAGTAGCAATAGCAGTAGCAATAACAGTCTTAGTAGCGGTAGTAGTACTCGAGGAGGATCAGAAGGAGGAGGACGGGGCGGAGCCTATTTCCCGCCGAGAGAAGCAGGGGTGGGTGGGACCCGAAACTAAAGACTTCCTGAGGTTATGTAATTGGAGGGCGGTGTGAGTGAGCGAGACGGCTTGCGCCTTGCAAGCAGGAGGTGCCCTGACCACTCCCGCATCCCCCTTCCCCCTGGGACTGGAGGGGAGAGGCCTGCTCAGGCTGGCTCCTGCGCGGGGCCCTGGCTCAGGGGCTCTCGACATCGTGGTCGCTCATGGGTCGCGCGGTTTTTTTTCATATCTGCTCAGTTCCACCTGCTGCTCGCAGTGTGCACTACCTCTGTTGTTTTTGCAGGTCGTCATCGAAGGTTTGCTCGGGAGCCCGCGCGCGACGTCGTGGTCGCTCATGGGTCGCGTGGTACGTCGTGAGTTTAGTTGGAAACGAGCAACCATCGATTCCAGCAGGGGGGGAATAGGCCAGCGCCCCTATATATATATATATATATATATATATATATATATATATATCTATATCTATATCTATATCTATATCTATATCTATATATATATATATGTGTGTATGTGTGTGTGTGTGTTTGTGTGTGTGTGGTGTGTGTGTATCCCTGGGGGCGAGGCCGGGGGCCCCAGGACAGGTGCCTCGACCCCC